AGTCTGCACGGCATCATTGTTGGGTTTTTGGAATGTTCTTGCGATCTATTTGTGGTGATGACTTAAGGACGGGAACTAGATCCTTTGAAAAGAATGATGATGTTGAAGCATCTCATAAGTAGACGGCTTCACAAGGATTCTTTTGTTTTATTTAATGGTGTTTCATGTAATTTTATTTAATTCAACATTTTTCTAGACTTAATTTTTTATTTATAAATATTTTTTAATTTTAAGTAATTAATTACAAGGGTATATCTATCTTTCAAGGGGTTATGTGAAAGTGAATTAAAACCTCATGGGATGCTAGTTATATTTCTCAAACGTAAAAGGTTTTATGAAAACACGAAAAATCTCAAGAAATGTTAGTATAATTAATCCAAAATAAGTCTATCAAATGCTCCTCTGGGCTAGCTGTAACCCAGCCTATATATATATATTTTTTATTTTTTTTTTTTTTTGGCCCACATACCCATCCACATCCAGCCCAATTTCTAGTTCACCAACCCGTGATTCCGTACGGACCACACCCTTAAATGAATTTTGTATAATTTAGATCATCCAAAGGTTTTCATGGCTTTTCCTTGCTCGCATTTGAGCTATAAAATTGGAAGTTCCACTAGTATCTCTTAGCGAAACTCCTGTATCACATTTACTAGCCACATTTCTCACAGACGAAAACCAGTTTGAATCTTGAGTAGGCCTCATATAAGTTGTGGTGAGTAAATGCGATCATGGTACCTATAATATTGTAACTTCAAAATTATCTTATAACTACCACGACGGAACGGAAGTCACTGTAATGATTTGATTGAAAAGAATTGAGTAATTAATTTTCAAACAAAGTAAAGTAAATCATTTATTTTTTGGGAGATTTGAGACCAAGTGACATAAGTACACGACGGGACGTACGAAATCTGTTTGTTGATTTGGATAAATGATTTAGATATATCGAGGGATCGAAAATATATGATGGGAGATTCAAAGTCATAGTACCAAAAATAAAAAATAAAAATAAAAAATAGCTTGGCATGAGGCATGTTGCTTGTATAAATTGACAAGAATAACTATTGAGGATGTTTGCCATACATTCCTCCTTATATCATAATTATTTTGCAACTTGGAATAATAATTTTTTTTTTCAAATGAAGAAAGATTAGGCGATATCAGCTTTTCAGCAATAGTTGCATGCAAGGCACCTACTCTCCTTCAAAATAGTGAGAACCATCACACCTAAGAACTCCCCGCCCCGCCCGTCTCTTCTCCACCAATTTTATTTGTGATAACTCACTATAAGATATGTCACGGCCATAATAAACCTTATTTTCTTATTTGGGACGCTATTTGTAACCAAATTGATAACCCAAATACATTCATGTGTTGCCACCTAGTAAATAGCTCATCTTGAAGACAATAAGTATTCGAGCATTAGGGCGTGACGTCACTCAAGCTTGCCTCCTGTAAGAAAAAAATCAAGCCAAGTTTTAACTTGAAAAAAAACAAGTCAAACTTACATAAGGAGAAACCAGAATTATAGGCCCTCTTGTTTTTGTTTTTACCCCAAATTCCATTCCTTTGCAAGTCTAACTGAGACTTAGAGGGTTTATATAGTCTTGGTACAATGTAATTATCTATGAAAATCCATTTTAATTAGCATTGGTTGGCCATATGGTCTATTTTTTGCTTTGGTAAACACTACCATTAATCATTGTTAAGACCGATATATAGTGACGTTTAAGACACACACTCACGGCCTTATTCGAAAGGATAAAAACTAAAACATCAAATATTGCTTATCATTGAGCTTTCGATTTAATTTGGTTGATATCACCTAGATGGCTGGCTAGATCTCTACAACATATCTTCTTTGTTTGTTTTTAGTGAAGCTTTGAAGTATACTTCTTATGGATTTGCTTGACTCCCAAGAAAAATACAAAATTAGAAAACAAAGAAAGAAAACCAAGGTAAGAATAATTTGACAAGAAACTTAATGATACAATTGCTAGTGAATATGACTACATTGTCTTAGGGAAAACGTTTTTGTCACCCTTTTATACATGCTAGCCTCTTGCCACGCACTAGCTAACGCATGTGGTAATTCTCATTTTTTTTTTAAATACTGATTTTATAGTTTTTTTTTTTTTTTGAAAATTCAAAGAAATAAAAATAGATTGTCCACTATGTGGGATTCTTTTTATTTTTTATAATTTTAATTAATTTCTTTTAATTTAAAATATTGCCATTTTAGTACTTTATCCCAATTAATTAAAATTTTCTTTTAACATTCTAATTAGTGGAGGGCATTCTTGATATGCTAAAAGCTTCACTATTTTAGAGTGCTGATTTTATGTATAAAGATGACTTTATATATAAAGAAGAAGAATGGAGGCTTTCTTCTAGGATTTTCGCTTAGCCTTGCTAGGGACATTTTCATATTTTCACAACTTCAAGAAAATTAATTAATACAATAAAATTTAGTATAATTCGTAACATTTAAATTATATATATCATCATAGAATTGAAATATGTAATATAAAATTCTATATATTTCATTCTCCGGCATTCGTTACTTAAACCCTAGAAACTTAGAAAATTATTAAATTGGATTCAATTGTATTTCGTGACTATTGCTCTATTCTGAGTTTGACTTCCCTATGCAGCCTGTAAATGCAAACAAATGATTTACAAACAACGATACAACGGAATTGGAATTTTTTGAGACAGAAACAACTGACAGATGCTCAATTTTGTCTACTTATATTTGGCACAAGCCATGCAAGTGCTGGCTGACTCATATCTCATTAGCCTCCCACATCCACATATATAGTATATATCATGGAACATTGGTTGCAAATGGTACCTTATAGCTTTACGTTGTATTGTATAAACCGGCTAAAGAAATTTCAAACATAAATTTCCAATAAATTAAAGGTAAGATATAGTGTCTTCAGTAGTTTGTCACATTTTCTTTTTGGCATGTAGTAAGTTTCACACGAGCAACATTTGAAACTTAGAGTTTAGTTATTTGAACAGTAATTATGGTTTGTTACGCACCTATTAGAGGTGGGTATGCCCTACTAATCCAAGGGTTTGGGGCGTGCATGATATGACCTCAACATGAGGTGATAATGAATATCTCACCCTTTTGATTTAAATCTTCATACAACCAATCGTTTTAATACTCTGCTTAGTTACAAGCCACACTACAAGATGCGATAGTTTAGATGTACTCTTATTTCAGTATTACTAGACCAAATAATTATTCTTTAGTCGCATTTCAATTTGATTTTGAGACTTGAGAGTTAAAATAGAAATATTATGCAATAGTTTTTCCTAGTTTTGTATAAGATCTTTCTTGAATGAGAGCATAAAAATACATTTTTAAGCCTATTTACGCACCGACTTGTTTGTTATATAGCCTTCTTGATGGGATCTCTCGTTTTGGATTGGGGATGGGTCAGCATGGCTCTTGAGCTGGATCCGAGATGATCTCCTGTTGGCGTGGTAAATCCTTGATGTTTTAGGGCTCGTTTGAAACTGCTTTTAAAATGACTGAAAGCTCTTTTTTGAAAATGTTTTTGAAACTAATCTTTAGTAAAAATGCAAGTGAATCCTTGAAAAAAAATACTTGAAGTGCTTCTTGCAAGAAGCACCAGTTATTTTAAAAACACAGCCAAACGAACCCTTAGGTAATGTAACTTCAGGTAATGTGCCTTAAGGATGATGTTATGTAACAATTTTGCAGGTTTTAGGGATTGTGTAGATTCTCTTTTTCCTTTACCTGTGGCCTTTTTTTATGTAGTTATACCCGAAATAAGGTTTTTCAGAGGTGCTTCTTTCAACACATTTTTGTTTGATGTACACCTTGTTCTATCTATTGAATGATAGGTTTTCTCTAGGAAAAAAAAAGTACATATAACACTAAGTTTCTTCGAATACTGAATACTGACCATGGGTTAGATATTCAAATTTTGATCAATTAAAATATGGTCAACAAACTGAATGGATATTGATGAACTATACATTCTTTTTTTACTTCACTAAAGTAACCTATATGAGTGTGTGTCTCTTATAATGTAATCGCAATAGTTCATTGTATAATTTGACACATATATTGTTGAGAAATGGTATCCGCACCAGTTCTTTATATTTTTTATTTTTTATTATTCACATCTTTGTTTTATATTCATTGATTCTTCTTGGATTAATAAAATCCAAATGTTAGATATAAACACGGTGAGAAAAGAAACGTGTGAAAATCACTTCTCTATACGTTTTTAAATGAAATTATTCATTTGTCAAGCCACTTTTCATAGCATGAGCATGATAGAATTTTAAGTGAAATTGATTGCAGAAATAGGAAAGTTATTTTTTTGCAAACAACAAAGTGAAGCATAGACGGACCAGATGCAATGATGTTGTATACCACTAATACATGATTAGGTGGCTTAAAGTAGGTTGCAATTTGATGTCACTTGATTAAATATACAAAGAAACGTTCATACATGGGATTGGGTTAGGGTAAAAAGTAAATATTGAAGCAATGGGGGTATGATATTCTTCCAAGAACTCCCACCACCACCACCACCACCAAAAGTTAAATGCTCTATCTACTTGCTTTTCCTATAATTTACTTGTCCCCTTGTCCTAATGTTAGAAGAAAGTACCAAGTGGATGGTGTATGCCTGTGGAAAGAATCCAAATACAAGTTTTGGATTTGGAGGCATTTGGGAGGCTCCTCCTTGCAATCCCCACTATTACCCACTAAGCAACAAGCAAGGGTGTTGTTTTGTTTTGTTAGGACATGTTTGGAAGGGCATTGTGTTGAAGAATAGTCCCAAACTTTGGCCAGCTCTTATTCCCATCCATTTCACTTGGTGACAAATCCCAAGTGAGAGTGAGAGAGAAACAAAGGTACACACCAAACAATTTAGATAGAGAAAATCTAGAGAGAGAGAGAGAGAGAGGGCACTGTATTTCAGAAATTCCATATTCCTCTGAACACCCTCCAAAGGACAAATAAAACAAATTAATGACGACAAAAGGCAGCCTCTAGTATTGTCGCCAACGTAACGCAGCCATGGAAAAGTCCTTCAAAACAAGAGCTTTTTTTGTTATTTCACTCACTTTGCAACAAAACTTCACATCACAAACACAAAACCCTTCTTAGTTTTCTCAAACTCCACGCCTTTGATGCAATACTAGGAGGAGGCTCCAGCCAGCCACCACCATTTCAGGAAACTTTTCTGAGCTTTCTTTCCATTTGAAAACCCAGTTAGGAATTTTCCATGTCGTTTGAACTTGGTGGGTTGTTTATTGGAGGAACTGACTAGTGACTTTCTCTGGTAATTCCCTGGCTCTGTGTATCATTGTTTCTTGCGATGTTGAAATTTATATTTTTTACGTCTGCAGTTGTTCATTTGTTGAGATTTTTTTTCTATTTTATGCTTTTTTGTGTGGTATGATGTTGTGTAGGGCTTTTTGGTTGATTTGTTGATGAAAAAAGTAGACATTTTAACTTGTAAAATTCCCAAGAACTTACATTGTTGAGTAGCAAAGGAAATATTTTTGGTCACTTGTTAATGTTTTTTTAGTTTTGTTAACAATGGAATCATTTCCGAGAACAAAAATCAATTTTCATACCTTTTTTTTTCATTCTTTTGCTCTGTTTCTCAGAAACCACCAGATTCGTTACATATTTACGAGGATTCATGATTAATTTTTCTTGTGTGTTTTACTTAGATATACCAAAGTCAGGTCTGTGTGAAATTACAGGTATGGTACTTTGGACCTCGTGAGCTAGGTCAGTTGGTCAAGGTAGACGAGTTCGAATCCTCAGCCCCATAGATAAGAGTAATTTAGACTATTGTTTGTATTATAGGTATGATACTTCGAAATTTCAGGTCGAATCTATGTGATTCATTATTTGGAAAACAAACATGTGGAATAAAACACTGAAATCAAATTCTAAATAATTTATTTCATCAGCTGCTTTCTTACTGGTCTAATTCTTGCTGTTTTGAAACAGTTCTGGCAATCTGATCTTCTTCATCCCCTCATTGTTTTCATCGTTAATTGCAAAAATGGCACAAGAGGACGGGTCACCAGTAACTTCATCAGCGCTGCAGTTCTTTCCCTGGCTATCTCCTGGGATAGGATCTCCATACTCACCATGGCTCAGGGAGCTAAAATCTGAGGAGAGAGGTTTATGCCTGATCCAGCTTCTTTACGCCTGTGCTAGCCATGTCGCATCGGGTAGCATCGAGAATGCAAATATTTGGCTTGACCAGACTTGTCAGCTCGCCTCTCCTGACGGTGATTCAATGCAGAGAATAGCTGCTTATTTCACTGAGGCACTTGCAGACCGGATGCTTAAAGGTTTGCCCGGTCTGCATAAAGCGCTTAATTCAACAAAAATATCATCAGTCTCGGAAGAAATTCTTGTTCAAAGGCTGTTCTTTGATCTCTGTCCTTTCCTAAAGGTTGCATATGTGGTCACAAATCGGGCCATAGTGGAAGCCATGGAAGGGGAGAAGATGGTTCATATTATCGATCTTCATTCATGTGAGCCTGCCCAGTGGATTAATCTGATTCAGACATTAAATGCACGACCTGAAGGCCCGCCTCATTTGAGAATTACTGGCATTCATGAACAAAAAGAAGTACTAGACCAAATGTTCCTTCGGTTGACAGAAGAAGCTGAAAATCTGAACATCCCATTTCAGTTCAATGCTATAGTTAGCAAGCTAGAGAACCTTGATATCGAAAGTTTGCGTGTCAAGACTGGAGAGGCTCTGGCAGTATGCTCCATACTGCAGCTACATTCTCTCTTGGCAAGTGATGATGATCATAGGAGGAAAACACCAGCATCTAAGAACCTGCAGAAAGTCCTGCATATGAATAAACTCACTTTAGGAGAGTGGCTGGAGAAAGATCCAATTAACGGCAGTCCTGATTCTGCTTTGTCCCCGCTATCAAGTGCTTCACCAAAGATGGGGAGTTTTTTAACTTCTCTTTGGGGCCTTTCGCCAAAACTAATGGTAATAACAGAGCAAGAGGCAAACCACAATGGCCATACATTGATGGACAGGATCATGGAAGCATTGTACTTCTATGGAGCACTTTTTGATTGCTTAGAGTCTACAGTATCGAGATCACCAATGGAGCGACAAAAGGTTGAGAAGCTGCTTTTCGGAGAGGAAATAAAAAACATCATAGCATGTGAAGGAACTGAGCGAACGGAAAGGCATGAGAAGCTTGAGAAGTGGATTTTAAGGCTTGAGTTGGCTGGGTTTGGCAGGGTGCCTTTGAGCTACAACGGAATGTTGCAGGCTACGGAGCTGTTGCGTGGCTATGACGGGTACAAGATTAAAGAATATAATGGATGTGTGGTTATTTGCTGGCACGACAGACCTCTTTTTTCGATTTCAGGCTGGAGGTTTAGGAGATACCAATGATGTTGATCGACCATCCGGGGATTGAGTGCTGTTTTCTTTTTCTTTCTTTTGTCCCTTTTCTTGTTGTAAAGAATTTTAAGCAGTTCTTCCTCGCCAACTGCATAGTGTCTTCCTTAGAAAGGTTCGGAGAATTTATTCTCTGTTCTAAATTTTTTTGTTATCTGTTAATCTGTATGCTTTTTTGTTTTCTCTTTCCATACAAACACTGATGTTGCGCCTTTGGCATATTTTCTTTAGGTTGATTCTTTGTTCTATTGATACTTCAAAGTTAAACATGTTTGGGGTTTTAAGTCAAACATATTGGTATTTCAAGAAGTGGAATATCACACCATTCCTATTCAAGATATTAATTCTAAATCAAGTTGGGACTACAGTATAGCGGAATTCTTCTCCGTTTGTAAGTTAGAGACCTTAAGTTCGAATTACGTGAATGAAAAGTTCGTTAACAATTTATGATCCCCACCCTCTCACTGTAAATATATCATTGCATATATATATATATAAGATATTCTAAATCAACACAACATAGATTCATGAAAGGCAACACAACTAATAAAGAAAAAGCAACAAAATTATTTGTACTACATTTACTGACCACATCTCTGATTGAGATGATATGATACAATATCATTACACTTCAGTAGTGCAACACAGACACATTGTACTCAACAACAGCATCTCCAGTTTTCATGCTCATCGAAAATGTCTTCGCCAATGCATAGCCCCGTGCATATTGGAAAACCCCAGTACCTCCAACGATAGGCATCTCTCGGATGGCTTCCATAAATGGATTCCTCCCTAGAATGCTTACGGTACTACCATTGTACATACCGTCTAGAAAATCAAAGTTCAAGACCATAAGCAACCCTGAGTCATGCTGAGAAGCAATAGCATAAATCCCCTGAGCTCTCCCCACAAGCTTTGAACTAAGCTCTGGCCCTTCTGTCAATGGATTGTCTGCCATGAAAGTTGTTCCGAAACCACCAACTGACTCGTTTGGTGGTTCAACAATTTTCATGGCAGTTGGGTTCTCGCCGTCATGGATGTCATGGAAATAGAAGTGAAGGCTGGTAGTTTTCTCCATTCGTTTTGCAGATAGGGATAAAAGAGAGTGCTCTGAGAATATTCCATGAATGGTAGTGAAGGAGGTTGACAAGATGATGGAGTAGCAGGCAAAAGTGGCAAAACAAGCCATTTTGGTTCAGTTTTCAGTTGTATTGTAAGTGTTGAAAATGGTTATTTATAGGATGGTAATGGTATAGAAGTGGGGGATGATGTCTCTTCCTTAGTTAAGAGAGTGTGGATTCTTTGCATGCGTTCTTTGTTGAATAAATTATAACCCCGTGCTTGGTTTTCGATCAACAAGAGAGCAGCAGGGCAATGAATATAATTTTATGATATCTTCAACATAAATTTTATGTTACTCAGAACACTTGTCACTTTAGTGTACTTTTCCACATGGTTGGTTAATATGTCTCTACTTTATGGTTGGTTAATAAACAAATAAAACCAAATACACATAATAATTTGAGTGGAGATAACATTACGTGGTAGTCTTGTTTCATATATGTCGATCCATCATGATTCATAGTGGAGAAAATTGGTATTTGTATTAAATTCATCTTTTATCATATGAGTTCCACTAGTGTTAGAGCTCAGTGAGCAATGTAAATCGGTTTTATGTGTCTGAACAATATTACCTTTTTTTTTTTTTTTTAACAAAAGAAATTTAAGTGTAACGACATATTAAACATTAAAGTGAGTTTTTTTGGATCATTTTCTTGTTATCAATCAATAGTATTGTCCGGTACTTATTGCCAAATCACGAGCATTTCTTTTTTTGAAAGTATTCATAACTTGGATTAGCTAGCAATTTATTTACTGCTATGCAAAACTTTGACAATTTTAGCTTGTCAAAAACCTTGCTGCACGTATATTTCCGTGGTACCAAAAAATAAAGGGTTTTAAAGTTTTGTACTTGCAAATTATATACGCTTACTAAATTGTAGTGAACTATGGCGACAAACAATTTTCTATGCTTAGTGGGAATTCGATTGATTCCAGACGAAGTAATAGTGTGCCAATTGCCATATGATGATATGATAACACCTCTCAGAGCATGCTTGCTTCACAAACAAGGCTTTCCCAGTTGTATATGGTACTTTATATAGCAGGTCCTCGAAACCTTATGGAATCTACCCTGCCTATTCTCTTTTATATTTTTTCTTTGTCTGAACTTGCTAATGTAGTTTCATTTTTCAAATCAAGTATTTTTGCCGGATAAATAAAGTTGTTCTTGAGGTGTCATTCAACGCATCTAAAGTGATTAAAATGGTAATTCTCGAGTAAGGGTGTCCAGTGCTATTGCCTAGGCCCTACAGGATGATTAAACAAATTGGGTTTTTATTAGAAATAGTCCTTGAAATTTATCCTAACCATCAAGATGATTTTTAAAATTGAAAATTAATCAATGTAGTCCTTGAAAATAGGTGTCGCAAATCAATGTGGTTCTTCTGTCACAATTATGTTAAAAATTTCGTTAAGTGCTGATGTAGCACATAAATGGGCCTCAAAAAATTTACAGGTTTTTTTTCACAAATGGTTGCTGAAATTGACTCACATCATCAAGATGATCTCTGAAATTGATCCACACCATCAAGATGGTCGTTAAAATTGAAAATCAATGAATGTAGTTCTTAAAAATAGGTGTCGCAAATCAATATGATTCTTCCACTACAATTCTGTAAAATTTTTGTTATGTGCTAATATGAATTTAATAATTAATTAAAAAAAGTTGTCTAAATACCTTTTTGCATTATAGAATTTTTTTTCTTATAGTAGAACCTACTCCGAATTGAGATCTTTTCCATAAATTCTTAAAGGTACAAGGCTTAACCAAGGCCTAAGAGGGGGTTTGGAAATAGTTTTCAACCAACAATAGACGCACCTCAGTTATAACTTCATTATGTCAAGGTAGACCTCGTCGTTCTTTGAGTCATCAGATCATCAGGGAAGTGCCGAACAAGCTTTCCAATATTAAGGTTGTGAGGATGTTGATCGCGTAAATGTTAACGGTGATGTCCTAGAAGTCGTTGCTAATCAGCCAAGTCGTCACCAAAGGCGATCTCAATCCAGGTTCATTTCAGTGTGAAGATGAGTGTATTGAGATTTTTTTTGGAGAATAGATAGTGAAGAAGGTAGAGGAATGTGGACTAGGATTGGAGGTGATTGCAAGACTGGGTTTTTGGGATCATAACTTCTTATTCATTATTAAATTATTGGCATATTTGTCGATTTGCCCCTTGAACTTGTATGGAGCTACCAATTTTCCCCTTAAATTTTAATTTTAGTCAATTACCCCATTGAACTTTTATAGTTAGCCAATTCTCCCTTGAACTTTAATAGTAGCCGATTATCCCCCTAAACTTTTATAAATAGCCAATTTCCTCCTTGGAGTTAGATTTTTAAAAATTTCATTTAATGCCGAGGGGGGATTTGGTTATTTATAAAAGTTCAGGAGGGAGATCGGCTAAAATTTAAGTTTAAAGGGGAAATTGGCTATTTAAAAAAGTTCAAGATGGTAATTGGCAAAAATTAACAGGGGAAATTGGCAGTTGCATACAAGTTCAAGGGGCATATCAATAAATACCTCTAAATTATTAAACTTATTTGTAAATTTCTAATTTAATTAGACTTGTGTGATCCATTTATATGTTGCATCAGTACATAACAAAATTTTTGACAGAATTCTGAGAGAAATGCTACATTGATTTTGGACACTTACTTGTATGACTACATTGATCGATTTTTAATTTCAGGAACCATTTTGATGTCCAAGTCAATTTTAGGGATAATTTTGATGTCGCGGGTCAATTTCAAAGACCATTTGTAAGAAAAAAAAGATTTATGAGACCAATTTATGTGCCACATCAGAATTAACGGAATTTTTAACAGAATTATGACTAAATGACCATATTGATTTGCAATGCCTATTTTCAGGGACTCACTAGTAAAAAAAACACTTTGCGCGACGTAGGTACTTTCGTCACGCAAAGAAAAAATCGTTGCCTAAGGGTTTGCGCGACGCAACCTTTGTCGCGCGTTAATCGTCGCGCAAAGTCTGAGACGCTAGGGTTTGCGCGACGGCCCACGGGGCGTGCGTCGCGCAAAGTGGGTTTGCGCGACGGCCACGGCGTGCGTCGCGCAAAGTGGGTTTGCGCGACGGTTACGGCGTGCGTCGCGCAAAGTGGGTTTGCGCGACCAACGGAGTGCGTCACGCAAACCCACTTTGCGCGACTAACGGAGTGCGTCACGCAAACTCACTTTGCGCGACGCACTTCGTTGGTCGTCGCGCAAACCCACTTTGCACTACCCACTTTGTGGGGTCACGCAAACCCACTTTGCGTGACTAACGGAGTGCATCGCGCAAACCCACTTTGCGCGACGTACGCATGAGTCACGCAAAGTGGGTTTGCGCGTCGTGCAAAATGATTGGTCGTGCAAAGTGGGGAGTAGTTTTGGTCAAACTTTTTTTTTTTTTTTTAATTCTTGATAAATATTGTAATTAAATTCGAAAGAATAATTAATTAACCAAGCAAAAGTATTTAATTATAAAATATATGAAAATGTACATACAAGATCCGAACAAAAAAGAAAAAACTAAAAGTGAACTAGGTTTAATACATCAAGCTACTAGGTATCAGCAGGGCGAGGTGGCTCTGAGGTCGAAGGTGGACCAAGATGAAGTGCTGGTAGTGAGATTTGAAGGCCGGACATCTGTATGGCTTGTACAAGGTCTCTCCACGCCCCGGCATATGACCTCATCTCCTCGCCCGGGCACCTGGGACATCCGATGAAGTGTGATCAGAAGGTTCCGACTCACGGCGCCGCCGATGAGGCCGCCGTGCACTGAGCTGCTCAACTGACACTGATGATGTCGATGATACGGGCACCTGGGACGCCGTAGGAGTGGCCTCAGCAAAGGGTGTAGGCTCGCTAATCAATGGAGCACTCACGGCTGGAGCCGTAGATGCTGATAATGCAGGAGGTGCATTGGTCACACTCCGACGACGAGTGATCAACTGCGACATCTATACACTTATTCAACCATAAAAATATAACATTAGAAACTAATCCTACAACATTTTTCTTAAATGCAACAGATAATGTTAGTACATAAATACAGAACAACTAGATACATACATACATAAATACAGAACAACTAGATATATATATATATCTATATATAAGTGTCCCAATATTGTCACAACTACATAAATACAGAACAACTAGATATATATATATATATATATCATTACAAAACATTGGAGAAAATTTTGACCATGAGGCTTATTATGATATGGCTACGTTATTAGCCATATTTCCTTATAAATGTTATTGACTTTATATAACTGACCAAAACTTAATAAATTAGGTCACCCTGTGCATGTAGGTGGATACTCCATTTATATAGGAAAAGCCAGGGTATCACATGGCTGGTCTTAGTTGGATTTTAGAACATTGTTAGAAACTTTTCAGCCCTGAACCAAAAGTTTATACATTTTAGTTCTTAAAATTTTCCAAATAAATCATTAAAGCAATCAAAATGTTGTATGAGGTCACCTCTAATTTTTCCAAATAATTAGTCTTTTTTCTGAAATTATGAAGATAAAAAGCAAGAAAGTAAGCAAAATCCTGATCGAAAACAGTGAGATTTCTATACCACAGACACAGAACACTTAATAAGGTAAAAACCATCAAGGAAAAATACCAGTGAAGTTGTTGCTGCTTATGCAGTCAAGGTATCGTCTGAAAAAGAAAAAGAAAACGGATGGCAAGCAATTCCAAAACCAAAGGGACACTCGTCAAAACCAAGCTATCTGTCAAAGTATCGTCTGAAAAAGTAGCGTGCTTCTCCAGTGCACAAAATTTAAATTTTCTTCCCATAATTTAAACTATAAACATCATCTTGATCTTTGGTTCTATGAAAGTGAAACAGAATATGATAAAACTATAAACATGTACCTAATGAAGCTATATCCATGTACTTGTCATTGAAGGCATTTTAAGTTCATCAGCCGCCGGCCTGTTAAAAAGGTCCTTAATTAACACGACATATGCATCCTTAATTAAAATCAGATTAATAAAAGCCAATTTCATGTTCATACACAAAACACACATACATCAACAAAATACTCAGAAATCAACTTGCAATTTGAGCCTAAACCCTAAATAACAAAAACCCATTGAAAATCAGAAACCCTTACCTTGATTTTGGGACTTGATTCGCGTCGGCTTCGAGATTTGCGTGAAGGTCTGTCGTTTGGGTTCAAGATTTGTTAAGAGGAAAGACAGGTTTGGGTTCAAGATTGTGAAGAGGAAAGATTTGGGGTTCAAGATTTGTGAAGAGGAGAGAAGGAGATCTGGGGTCTACGGGAAAAGAAAGGGGACGGGATTTTGGGTTCAAGATTTGTGAAGAGGAAAGAGGGAGATAAAGAGGGATGGTTCAAGATTTCTGGGTTATGTTCGAATAGAAGGAGGAGGGTTCAGTTGGGTTAGGTTTGAATAGAAGGAGGAGAGGGAGATAAAGAAGGGCTGTCATTTGGGTTCGAATTGACGGAGATAAAGAGGGCAAAGTGGAAAATTTTGGAAAAATTGAAAAAAAAGCGCCTATTTTTCACTATTATACCGCCAAAATTATCACACCTTGCACGACGTAGGTGTTTAATTCGACGTCGCGCAAAGTTGTTTTGCACGACGATCATACTAAGGCGTCACGCAAAGTATTTAATTGGAAAAAAAAAGTATTATGAAAATTACCGAAAATGTGACTTTCCTCCTTTCAAATTCAAATTTTTTTAAACATAAACCCCACAATAATATATTTTTCTAACAAAAACCCACAATAATTTTTTTTTTCATATATATCAGTCAATCTCTTAAGTATTATAAGTACGAAATAAATAAATAAATTAAAATCTACTTAGTAAATATATATACGGTTGAACTTCATAAGAAAAGCATCGTATGAAACTAGTTTCAAAGATCCAACCGTCAAACTTGTTTCTATATGCTTCGAGATCGCATCAGCCAAAAATCGCAAAAAACAAACATGCAGAGATCAAGTAACGGGACAAAACTTTTTGACGATTATAAACGAAAAAGCATGATTTAACGGTTATTTTAACTCCATATGAGTATTATGTGATTAGTTTGAAAATTTTCTAATTTATTCAGTTTATAATTGGCCATAAATAAATAGGAGTTTATAATGTGCGTAGAAATCACTTTCCAAAAATATAACGTATGCATAAGATTCTTGTAGAGCCTTTGGTTGCTAGAGTTCAAACTTCTCCAGTCGTCATATGTATTTGTCCAATGTTCAATCCGGGTTAAGCAATTATATTTGCATATCTTTTCCCACCACAACACTAACACTTGCAAATAGCAACATATATAGCAAAAATCAACAACAATGTTAGTTAGGTGATAATGTTTTAGCTCAAAATAAATAAATTAAAATCTACTTAGTAAATACATATACCATTGAATTTGATAGGAAACACATTATCCGAAATTAGTTTCAATGATCCAACCGTCAAACTTGTTTGTATATACTTGGAGATCCCATACGCCAAATATCACAAAAAACAAACATGCAGAGATTAAGTAATGAGACAAACCTTTTCGACGGCTATAAACGAAAAATCACGATTTAACGGTTATATTAACTCCGATTTTGATGATTTTTGACAACTACACTCATTGACCCTACATGAATACAACAAACTGGTTCGATTTTCAATTTAAAATATTTACACAAGTGGATACCACAAAATATTATGTTATACTTAATGAAAATATAAATAAACTCCAAGTGTTAGTGAATCTATTGTTTTGATGGGATACGCATTGTACAAAACTAGTTTCAACGATCCAACCGTCAAACTTGTTTGTATATGCATTGGGATCGCATACGCCAAAAATCGCAAAAAAAAAAACGTGTAGAGATTAAATAACGGGACAAACCTTTTCGACGGCTATAAACGAAAAATCATGATTTAACGGTTATATTAACTCCAATTTTGTTGATTTTTTACAGCTACACTCATTGACCCTATATGAATACAACAAACTGATTCGATCGTCCATTTAAAATATTTACACAAGTGGATACCACAAAATATTATGTTATACTTAATGAAAGTTTAAATAAATTCCAAGTGTTAGTGAATCTAATTTTTTGATGGGATACGCATTGTACAAAACTAGTTTCAACGATCCAACCGTCTAACTTGTTTGTATATGCTTTGAGATCGCATACGCCAAAAATTGTAAAAAACAAACGTGTAGAGATTAAACAACGGGACAAACCTTTTCGACGGCTATAAACGAAAAATTACGATTTAACGATTATATTAACTCCGATTTTGATGATTTTTTACAGCTACATTGTTTAACCCTATATGAATATAATGAACTGATTCGATCGTCAATTTAAAACATTTACACAAGTGGATACCACAAAAGAAAAAGGCAATGCAAGAACCCCAAAAGAAAAGGAAAAGGCAAAAAAAAAAAAAAACAGAGGACTTTGCGCGACGTAGGTACAATTACGTCACGCAAGCCTATTTTGCGCGACGCAGTTGTACCTACGTCGCGCAAAGTCCTCTGTTTTTTTTTTTTTTTTACCCGTTTAGCTTATGAGGACAAAATAAATTAATTAAAATCTACTTAGTAAATACATATACCATTGAATTTGATAGGAAATGCATTGTACCAAACTAATTTCAAAAATCCAACCGTCAAACTTGTTTGTATATACTTGGAGATCCCATATGCCAAAAATAAAAAATAAAAAACATGCAGAGATTAAGTAACAGGACAAACCTTTTCGACGGCTATAAACAAAAAATCACGATTTAACGGTTATATTAACTCCGATTTTGATGATTTTTTACAGCTACATTGTTTAACCCTATATGAATATAATGAACTGATTCGAGCTCCAATTAAAAATATTTACACAAGTAGATACCACAAAAGAAAAAGGCAATGCAAGAACCCCAAAAGAAAAGGAAAAGGCAAAAAAAAAAAAAAACAGAGGACTTTGCGCGACGTAGGTACAATTACGTCACGCAAGCCTATTTTGCGCGACGCAGTTGTACCTACGTCGCGCAAAGTCCTTTGTTTTTTTTTTTTTTTTACCCGTTTAGCTTATGAGGACAAATTAAATTAATTAAAATCTACTTAGTAAATACATATACCATTGAATTTGATAGGAAATGCATTGTACCAAACTAATTTCAAAAATCCAACCGTCAAACTTGTTTGTATATACTTGGAGATCCCATATGCCAAAAATAAAAAATAAAAAACATGCAGAGATTAAGTAACAGGACAAACCTTTTCGACGGCTATAAACAAAAAATCACGATTTAACGGTTATATTAACTCCGATTTTGATGATTTTTTACAGCTACATTGTTTAACCCTATATGAATATAATGAACTGATTCGATCGTCAATTTAAAATATTTACACAAGTAGATACCACAAAAGAAAAAGGCAATGCAAGAACCCCAAAAGAAAAGGAAAAGGCAAAAAAAAAACAAAAACAGAGGACTTTGCGCGACGTAGGTACAATTACGTCACGCAAGCCTGTTTTGCGCGACGCAGTTGTACCTACGTCGCGCAAAGTCCTCTGTTTTTTTTTTTTTTTACCCGTTTAGCTTATGAGGACAAAATAAATTAATTAAAATCTACTTAGTAAATACATATACCATTGAATTTGATAGGAAATGCATTGTACCAAACTAATTTCAAAAATCCAACCGTCAAACTTGTTTGTATATACTTGGAGATTCCATACGCCAAAAATCAAAAAAAAAAAAACATGCAGAGATTAAATAACAGGACAAACCTTTTCGACGGCTATAAACAAAAAATCACGATTTAACGGTTATATTAACTCTAATTTTGATGATGTTTTACAACAACACTCATTGATCCTGTATAAATACAACAAACTGATTCGATCTTCAATTTAAAATATTTACAAAAGTGGATACCACAAAATATTATGTTATACTTAATGAAAGTATAAATAAACTCCAAGTGTTAGTGAATCTAATGTTTTCATGGGATACGCATTGTACAAAACTAGTTTCAACAATCCAACCGTCAAACTTGTTTGTATATGCTTTGAGATCGTATACGCCAAAAATTGTAATAAACAAACGTGTAGAGATCAAACAACGGGACAAACCATTTCGACGGCTATAAATGAAAAATCACAATTTAACGGTTATATTAACTCCGATTTTGATGATTTTTTACAACTACACTCATTGACCCTATATGAATACAGCAAATTGATTCGATCTTCAATTTAAAATATTTACAAAAGTGGATACTACAAAATATTATGTTATACTTAATGAAAGTATAAATAAACTCCAAGTGTTAGTGAATCTAATGTTTTCATGGGATACGCATTGTACGAAACTAGTTTCAACGATCCAACCGTCAAATTTATTTGTATATGCTTTGAGATCCCATACGCCAAAAATTGTAAAAAACAAACATGTAGAGATCAAACAACGGGACAAACCTTTTCGACGGCTATAAATGAAAAATCATGATTTAACGGTTATATTAGCTCCGATTTTGTTGATTTTTTACAGCTACACTCATTGACCCTATATGAATACAATAAACTGATTCGATCGTCCATTTAAAATATTTACACAAGTGGATACCACAAAATATTATGTTATACTTAAAGAAAGTTTAAATAAATTCCAAGTGTTAGTGAATCTAATGTTTTGATGGGATACGCATTGTACAAAACTAGTTTCAACGATCTAACCGTCAAATTTGTTTGTATATGCTTTGAGATCGCATACGCCAAAAATTGTAAAAAACAAGCGTGTAGAGATTAAACAACGGGACAAACCTTTTCAACGGCTATAAATGAAAAATTACGATTTAACGGTTATATTAACTCCGATTTTGATGATTTTTTACAGCTGCACTGTTTAACCCTATATGAATACAATGAACTAATTCGATCATCAATTTAAAACATTTACACAAGTGGATACTACAAAAGAAAAAGGCAATGCAAGAACCCCAAAAGAAAAGGAAAAGGCCAAAAAAGAAAAAAAAAAGGACTTTGCGCGACGTATAAAACGTCGCGCAAAAGGCATTTGCACGACGAACCTTTGCGCGACTACATATGGCGCTGCGCAAAACACATTTGCGCGACGCAGGATCTGATGCGTCGCGCAAAGTTGTTTTGCGCGACGCCATCCTTGGTCACGCAAAATTCCCTCGCGCAAATGCCTTTTGCGCGACGTTGTGTGTTTTTGGTCGCGCAAACATACTTTGCGCGACGAAAGTTGATCCGTCGCGCAAAATTCAGTCGCGCAAACATGTTTTTCTACTAGTGACTACATTGATTGATTTTCAATTTTAGGTACCATCTTGATGGTGAGGGTCAATTTCAGGAACCATTTGTGATAAAAACCCAAAAAAATTTTGAGGTCTATATGTCACATCCCGGCCCAGGCCCCCACCACATCTCGGGCTTGACTCCGATGTAGCACGATATTTTCCGCTTTGAGCCCCGACCACACCATCACGGTTTTGTTTCTGAAAACTTATGCAAGAACTTCCTAGCAGGTCACCCATCATGGGATTGCTCTTGCACATTAAACACTTAACTTCGGAGTTCCGATGGAACCCGAAGACAGTGAGCTCCCAAAAGATCTCGTGCTAGGTAGAGATGAGAATATACATATAAGGTTTACAGGATCCACTCCCCTGGACGATGTGGGATGTTACAATCCACCCCCCTTAGGGGCCCGATGTCCTCGTTGGCACACTCGGCCAGGGATTGGCTCTGATAGTAAATTATCACATCTGGGCCCGGGCCCCCACCACATCCCGGGCTCGACTCCGCCGGAGCACAATATTATCCTCTTTGGGCCCCGACCACGCCTTCAAGGTTTTGTTTCTGAGAACTCACACGAGAACTTCCCAGTGGGTCACCCATCATGGGATTGCTCTCGCACGCTACTCGCTTAACTTTGGAGTTCCGATGGAACCCAAAGCCAGTGAACTCCCAAAAGGCTTCGTGCTAGGTAGCAATGGGAATATACATATAAGGCTTACAGAATCCACTCCCCTGGACAATATGGGATGTTACATATATATTTACGTATTTTTTTAAATTAAGAAAAAATAATTAAATATATACATTAGAGCCATGCAAAAATGATTTGTTAAACAAAAATACTACTATTATTATCTATTTATATCATCATTTGTACTATATTTCTAGTAAAAATTAGATCCACATGAGTTGGCAGGCCTTACCTGCATTAAAAAGATTATACAAATAGATAGTAAATATAGCATTACTCTTTTTTAAAACAATTTTTTCTCTGCAAGGCAGGCTCAATTATGCTTTTTCCTTTTTTCTATTCTCTCATTGACTTTGTGTCCATTGCGGTCCATTAAATTTTAGATCTTCGCCCTTTTTAATCCGCCTTTAAAATTTGTTATTTATATATCTCCTTATCTTTATATGGATAATGATAGGAAAAGACTAAATTTCTAAACTAAATTTTGTGAGTGCTGATATTCCCACCCCGGTGTCTTATTTTCTCACCCACCATTTAATGAAAATGTTAATAACATATTTATCCTTTTAAAAGAAGACTCTTAAACTCCTATTTAATCAAGTGCTAAAATTTTGAACAAACAAAAATAATTTAAAATAATAAACAAATAATGGTGGGTGGGGTGTGATATCTTTGGTGGAAAGAGGTTGGGAAAGATTTGGGTTAGAATCGACGCAAAGGTTGGAGGAAGGAATGGGCGTCTGCTAGATGAAGGCAAGAAACTTCAATGGAGGAAAAAGAGACTTGGGTATGAGATCTACGGTCTTGATAAAAAAAGGAGGAAGAAGAGTAGTTTAGGGATTCGGGGTCTCTATAGGGCGGCGATAGGTGTGAAGGAGATGATGAATGACCAAGTCTTAGGTCTTGCATTTTCTTTCATTTCTTTCTATTTTTATTTATTTATAATATTATTTAAAGATATATTAGAGTTATTTAAAAAAATATATTAGGGATATTTTGGAAATAATGGTGGGTGGAAAAATAACATTTTACTATTTTAATTTTTTTTATGGTGGGTGGGATTGTCATGTGGGTGGGAAAATAAGACATTGGGATGGGTCTAGTAGCACTCAATTTTGTAAACTAAATTATGTGGTTGTTGATGATTGAATTACTACTTAAATGTTAATTAACGTGCTTACTTATTATTGGTAACACATCACTTAGATAACAAATTTAGACTCTCTAACATTATCCTTTTTTATTCTTAAATTTTGCTCACCATATTATGCATGTACCCTTATCTTTATTCCAATGAACCTACAATGTTTGAGCCCAAACAATTATTAAATATGCTCACAAAAAAGTTAAGAGGAAACAATGAGAGTGTCAAAAAGACCCCATTGTAACCTTTCGTCCTCGACCACCAAAATTCAAATATAATAATTTGATTCAAATTTGTCTTCGGTGAGAATTGAATTTAAGACCTCTCACTTACAAATAAAGAAAAATATCATTAGACCGTAGTACTAAGTGACACAAAAGAATAGACTATTAACTATTAAGAGAAGAAGAGATCATGAACAGGCCCTTTTTTCTATTTTCATTTGTGCAAGGTTTTTATTTTGTATAATCTTTTTATAGGGTTTGGGAAGTTAATAGTGTGAAGTGTAAGCTTGGTATGGTTGTCAATGGCCCGAGCCATATTAAACCTCAGCTTAAGCTCGAACAAGGTTCATATAGTTGTGCTTAAGTTCGGCTCAAATGATTTTCTCAAGCTTAAATTCTGCTCGGCTCGTTTAAGCTTTCCTTTGAAACACGCTCCAACTTAATTAAAATTTGAAAACAAATTAAGAAATTACTCATAAACATGATGCATGTTGTAACTACTGAAATACATGCAAGTATGAAACCGTTTGCAAATTGTAATGCGATTTATTTTCAGCTAGAAAATTCATAGCAAATAATTGCATGTCATGTTGAACGATAAGGAAGTAATTAATCTTATCGTTACGACGCACCCAAGACATGATACTTTCTCCTCATATCCTCTGATTTGATACCATCGATCATAAGAGCAACTCCAGCCCATGCTAAATGGACTGGCACCAAGTGAAGAAAATGGACTGGCACCACATTTTTCTGCTCCAGCCCGCACATTTGACTGGCACCCAGCCCGTGCCAGTCTGTTGCCCAGCCCAAAATGGACAGACCCAGAAGCCGGCCTGTTTGATGGCGCGTGCAACACACGCGGCTGCCCAGGCGAGTAGCCGACAAGAAGACCAGGCGCTGGGGCCCGCGTGCAGACCCACTTGCGGTCGCCCGGGTGAAGGAAACGTGGCCTCGTCAGAGCCGTTGGATTTCCAACGGCTAGTTTTTTAGGCCGTTGGATTTCCAACGGTAAAAAAAATTTCAATTTCAATTTTAAATTGGACCGTCCGATCACAGATCAACGGTCCACGTTTATTTCACCAACGTATTGGTGTAGAGGGCTTCGATTGGTGTAGAGGGCTTCAATTACAGAGCAAAACCGCATCAGGGACTCCAGAACTGTTGTTTTTCCCATCCTTGCGATCTCATCCACTTGATCTGCGGATGCTCCATATGCAAGCATTCGCAAGGCAGCCGTAATTTTTTGCTCAGGAAGAAGACCTAGAACATGAAAAGCATCCTCTTTTTGCACAAAATATGGATCATGGTTGCAAACATCACTCATGATTTTAGCGAACAAACTTCGTTGCATTCTAAAACGACGTCTAAAAACATGATTAGGGTAAACACTGTTGGGAATAAAATAATCTTCCAAGAGATCTTTACCTCGTCTTTCCCTTCTTCTATCGATGTTTGCCGCACGTCCGGGTTTGGCTATCTGACCTATAGCTTGCATGATACGCCGGGAATGTGAGGCCCTCCGCCTTCTATGGTGATCATCGTCATCCTCCTCCATTGCGAAGGCCTCATCTCCACCTCCACCTTGGTGAAGATTGACCAATTCTTCCTGTTGTGCCAACAACCTTTTCTGCTGCTCTTGCAACTGTTTATACGCTCTCCTTGAAGAAGACATTGTAAGAACTCAAGATTTGAAAATGATAAAGAAGAATTCTGAGCTAAAAAAATGGATTGAGTTTAGTGTGAGGATGGATGTAGGGATGTAGGGTTTATATGGACAAAAAAAAAGAAGATGAGGTTCTGGACAATGCCACGTGGCACTACGTGATTGGTTGAAAATCTTAGCGGAAATCTGTTCAAAAAATAGTACGTTCGGATAATGACACGTGGCGTGACGAGATTGGTTAAAAATCTTATCGAAATCTTGCCTAAATTATTGTAAACAGGAAGTGACACGTGGGTTGTCGGGATTGGTTGAAAATCTTAGCGGAAATCTATTCAAAAAATAGTACGTTCGGATAATGACACGTGGCGTGACGAGATTGGTTAAAAATCATATCCGAAATTAAAACTATTTTTTTTTTATTATTTTATAAAAAAATTATTTAATATTTTAAATGGACTGGGTGCCAGCGCATTTTGTAGGGGTGGAGATCGTTTGTGCCAGCGCATTTTTAGACTAGGTGCCAGCACATTTTTTTTTTGGGTGGAGATGCTTTGGCCTATTACTGTTCATTGAGTCTGTTACTGTTCAATTAAGTGGATAAATGGGCTGGGTGCTGGCGCAAAGTGGATAGGGGTGGAGTTGCTCTAAAAGGAAAAAAAAATCCATCCACTTCTTTTTGCAAAAAGATTGATCAAGTGGCCTTACAACAACACATGACTATAAAAAAGAAAAAAAAAAGTTGTCGAACACGAAAACATTAATTTAATAATAAATTTTTTTAGTGAAGACAAATAGTACATTACGTGTCATAATATAAATAGAAGAAACATTGAAAAATATATCATCTTTCTACTTATATTATAACACATAATGTACCGGCTTGTGTTCCGAAAACGTAGGAAAAATATTTCTTGACTCTTGGGCTTACCAAGACAAAGTTTTCTAGTTATGAGACACAAAAACATTGTACTCAACCATGGCATCTCCTGTATTCGGAGCAAACCAAACAGTATGTGCTAATACATAGCCACGAGCGGACCTAAATAGCTCCCTGCCTCCGACAATCGGCATCTCTCTCACATCGTTCATCACCGGATTCCGCCCAAGAACGCTAATGCTACTCCCCTTATACTTGCCTTCGACAAAAACCAAATTCATGATCATAAGTAGGGATGGGCAACGGTTATGGTGGGCCGGTAATCATTGTTATTTACCCATAACTATTTAAGTTTTTACCCACATAACCGTTTACCTATTGAGTATTTACATAAACGGGTATACACATGCCCATAACCGTTTATAAACGGTTAACCATACCTATAACCGCATACCCATTTACCCATAACTGCATACCTATTTACTTTGTTTTTTACCCGTCTACCTTTTTTTAAACAACTTGAAAATTAAAAAGAATTTTTTCATAATTTTCTTTTTTCTAACTATTAAATACCGTTATAAGTACATTTAAGATGTACTTTTATATTAACAGCAATATTATTTATGAATATATGCGATGTCTCCCAATTATTTGACAGTCAATCTATTACAAGAATCATGCGTGGTTGTGGATTAATTAATATTCTTGCATACATACATATATATATATATATGTATATATATATATAAGTACGATTCAGTCTGCTAAAAGGCTAATTTCATAAATATTTGGATTTTTATTTAGAAACATAAGTTCATCGATCCAAGCCATTTAATCGATTTCTAATTTTGGGGTCAAATATTTATTGAAAATTCGAGGCCAATTATTTATATATATATATAGGTACACATCATCTAATAATAACATGTTTCTAAATACTCAAGGTAATCATTATCTTGAATTGGTTAAAGCTCCAAAAGACTCCAAAACAAAGTTGTTGAACACTAATGCTTTAGCACATTCAATCACATATGTTAAACAGTAGCGCATTCTATCAACTATATTTTTCTCTCAAGTGAGGCATAAATATATATCTATATGGCCCTTTACAACCAAATATATCTCGGGATACTAAACCTAGTTAGAAACTAATATTTTTTTTTTAATTTTACATATATTAAAATAAACAGTTAAATGGGTACCCGTTTATAACCGCTCATTTAAATTTCACATGTAAACGGTTATACCCATAACCATTTATTTATCTAAACGGTTACCTATAACCATAATGGTCAATTTTAAATGGGCGGATAACTGTGGTTACCCATAACCAATGGGTATTTGCCCATCCCTAGTGAGAATCCTCCCACCAAGCCCATCGGGCCATTGAAATTTTATCCAACGGCTACAATTATTATAACTTTTAGAGGGGTTCCCCTGCTTGTAGCCAGTGAATAAAATTTCAACGGCCCGTTAGGCTTGGTCAGGAAGATCCTCACCCTTTGCTCAGGAGAGGATCTTGATCCACATGTTTTGATATGGATCTAATGTATTGCACAGCCATAGCTAGGGTCTAATAAGTACAGCAAAGTGTCCATAATTTGAAAACAAAATTGCACCGACTGTTGTTGAATGTTTTATCATGACTCTTCTAGAATTAACATGTAACTTTAAGTTACACATCAAATCTCATCATTTCATAAAGAACTCTCATCTTTTTTAGTGTAAAATATATCGTTGTATTATAAAAAAATAAAATAAAATAAAATAAAAAGTTACTCATCAAATGTCGTCGTTTCATAAAAAACTCTATCTGACTCTTGTTTTGAATTTCCCTCGTGATTCCTGCATATTAGTATCCAAATTTGAATTTGAATTTGCATGAAGCTATGAGAACTACAAGTAATTTTACATGTTTTCGTTGAGTCGTTTACAACAGTAAGCTTCATTTTTGCTGGTATTTGTTACATAATTTTAGTCTACATGATTCGTGAGCATTATACATTGATTGTCTTATGTAAGTAATTGCTCAAGAGGCTTTTGACATTGATTGTGTTATCTTTTCAGGGGCTTTTAACATTACCAAGATGGAGGACTACATCTTACTGTTAGAATCATGTAAAATTACTTATTCCACCATGATAGGTAGTTACAATACAATAGGTAGTTTAGCTTGTACAAATACTTATATGACAGGTAGTTCAAACTGCAAAAATACTTATATAATAGGTAGTTTAGATTACAAAAGATCAGTTGAAATCTAAGTTTATGCCAACTAATATTATAATATGATAGGTAGTTTAACTTGTACAAGTACTTATATGACATATAGTTTAGACTGTAAAAGTACTTATATGGTAAGTAGTTTAGATTATAAAAGATCAGTTGAAATCTGGGTTTATGTCGACTAATAAGCTACTTGAGTTGAAAAAAAATAGAAAAATAATATAACTAATAGCGAGGCCCCCCAAGAGATTTATAGGTGTCCGAAATTTTGGAAATGTCCTAAATTAATTTTAGGAAATATGTGGTGCGAATGACTCTAACTTTGGCTTATAGCACACAGTTTTTTGTGAAAAAAAAAATGAAATTTTTAGCTTTAAGAAATATTTTGCGCTAGAGTTAAGAAAAATATTGCAAAACCTTTAGATCTGATCCTACCGATTATTAGGTCCTGAAACTATTTTTATTGATTCTTAAAGTGAGAAAATAGAAAAATATCTTTAAATTTGGGTTTTAAATCATTGATTAGACCATCTTCAACAATGGGCTAAATGCCAAATTTCTCTCTCAAACCCACTCCAACCTAAGCCAAATCTTTGGGCCAAAAGCCAAATGCCAAAGCTGGGCCAAATACCCCCCCCAAATTCCCCCCTCATGCGAGTGGACTCGCTGGAACTTGGGCCACTCTTGGCCCGCCCACACGCATACACGACCCACGCACTAAGCCTGCAATGCTTTCCCGACAAGGGTGGGCCCCGCAATTAGCTGGTTGTCGCCCAGCATCATCATCCCAACGGTTATAATTGACATCCAATGGCTGGGGTTTAAGGACTGTTGGTTAATCCAACGGTCCAAATTCAAATTTATTTTTTTTAGAATATGTTATTTTAAAATATATTGAATCCAACGGCCGAGAACGAATATAATCAAATCAAACGGTAAAAAAAAAAAAAAAAAAGATCTAATGGCCCAAATTTAAATTTAACGGCTAAAATAATTAAAAAAAATTATTTAACTCAAAATTCACCCAAAAACTCTATAAATACCTATGTATTTGTTCAAACATCCACACAAAACTTAATTTTCTCCTACAATTCTTCCAATTTATCTTTCTACCATTTTTTTCCATTTCCAATTTTCTCCTATGTATTAATTAAGTTTATTAATTGTCGTTTGTATTAAGCTTATGTAGTTTATTAATTATGTGGTTTATGAATTATTGGTTGTATTAAGTTTAAGTAGTTTATGTAATTTATTAAATTTATGTCTTATTAATCATTGTTTCTATTAATCTGGATGCCTTAAATAATTATTGTACTTATTATTCCACACTTTGATGTAGAAAATTTGGTGTTGAACGGTTAGTGAATTGAAAGTTAGCCCAGGGTTGAAGGATTGGTGAAAGTTGAAGGCTTGCTTTGTGGAAAATTTAGTGATTTTTCAATATTTATCGGAATTTAAATATTTTTAGATTAAAATGTTTATAAAATTAATTCACGATAGTCTACATATTTATTTTTTTTAAATTTAATTTAAGAAAAAAAAATAGCCTGAGTTTATTCTTTAATAACTCCGGGCTAAAATTTTAGCCCAGAACGGTTCGAGCAGAAAAGCTGTTTTTGGGCTAAAAGCTAAATTTTCCTGGCTAAAAAATTTGGTTTTTAGCCCAACCATTGGAGTTGGTCTTACAAGTGTTTAAAAATGAATTATAATATATTTTGCACAGAAAAAAATATATTTTGAAAAATACGAATATGAGATAGTTTGTTGTTATGGTAAGATAAATAAAAGAAACATTAACAAAATAAAAAAAAATAAAAATAACAAACTTAAAAACTGAAAAAAAAAAATTGAAAAGGGTGGGATCGGTATGAAGATAGCGACATTTTACTAGTTATTCGCTATCTTATCAGCGATTATCTTCAAGGAGAGTTGCTCGCAAAGTACCGATCATATCATTTTCTTTTTTTTCTTTTTCCATTGAATAGCTATAGTAGAGTAAAATAGTAATCACAATGCAAAGTATCAACCTAACAACAAAAAGTGCTGACACAAGGAGTCCTATTCATGGACCTAAATAAAAAAATAACTAAAAATTGGACTAATCTAATTGTTAGGCCATGAAATTGGGAAAGGGATCCTTTCCGGATATCTTCCACCAAATCCATCCAATCACCTAATTCGGACCTTTGAAATTTAGTCAAACGGCTAAAGTTATTATAACTTTTAAAGGGGCCCCCTATTTGTAGCCATTGTATCAAATTTCAAGGGCCTAAATTGATTGATTGGGTGGATTTAGTGGAAAGGATCCGGAGAGGATCTCTTTCCATAAAATTGGATCTATTTCAAGTTAGTTTATTTATACATAACAGATTTATAAGGAAGAAGTTAATTTAAACCACATATTAATGAAACTTTTTTTGTCAACTATAAGAGGGTGAAAAAACATTTTTGTCTTCTATCACAAAATAAAATTATGGACAATAAAGTAATTTGCACAAACTAAATTTTACAGTTGTTTTTAAAAGCATCATCTACATGTAATCCTAACAAATCACCTACAAGAACTTTGGATTTTTACGGTGTATTGTTTTAAGAAACTTCGAATTTCTATGGCACTTATTTTCAAAACTTCAAGTTCGAGTTTAAGTACGACCTCTATGTTCATGATACCTGCAAACAAACACAATATACATATGTAGTGAACAGGAATAGCTTCGAGACCTATGTGTGAAAAGAATGAGTGACGACCCAAAATATGGGGTTGTCGTGGCTTGTAGACCCAAAAGAGTGGTTGTTGGGTTGTTGGGCAACAAAAGAGAAGTAAATGGATTAACAGATTATATACCCAATTATTGGGCTAAGAAGGAAAAGTGAAAAATAAGGCATAACCCATGGGCTTGTTATTTCATGCGAGCCAAAAATAAAACAAGGTCCAAAAGAAAAAAAAAACAAGTGGGACGGTTTGGTGCATATGCCCAATTGGGTTGCAGGTCGACTGTAGGCAGCCCAGATCCGTAAGAAAGGTATGTGAAACGGTGACACGCCCCGACCCCGATATTCCCCGAATACCAGGATCGGCACGTGCTGGCCGACACCCGAGGGTGACGAAAGCCATTTATTAAGTGCAAATGCTGAAAATAAAGGATAAATAAGGTTTATAAATATAAAAGAATAATGAATATGCAAATAAGGACCGTGTTCAGAGCACACCACTAATCTAGAACACTAAAAGAAAATAATATAAAATTGAATGAACAAAGGAATGGGTCCTACACCGAGAGGACTCGAAGATGCCGATGCGGAAGTGCCTGGACGTCGGGATTGTATGCCTCGATTCTAAGTCCTGAAGGGGGCGCAAAACAAACATGAGTGGACCAAGTTGATATATATATATATATATATATATATATAATAAAACAGTTATCAACATACTAACCCCCAGGTTTTATGAAAACACATATATATAATGATAAACATAGGTTTTCCGAAACCTAGCATGTCGTGCCATGTCTCAAATCATAATTCGCATAAATAATAAACACTAGTGAATGTCCGATATAACACTTCAGGCCCCATGCCGGCTCCCCGTCTCTGAGCACACAGTCAGAGGAAAATACACTTCAGGCCCCGTGCCGGCTCCCCGTCTCTGAGCAGACAGTCAGAGGAAAACACACTCCAGGCCCTATGCCAACACCAAACCGTCGCCCGGGACGGACCGGATCTATCCCTACGTCCCGTAGCGGAAAGGACCACTAGGTAAGTACAAAACCAGTGAACATACATATATTGAAAATCAACTTCATAGTATAAAGTCATCCATCATCTATACTATAAAGAGGTGTTCTAAACATGTTCTAAATATCATATCGTCATCCATCAGATATTCTACAAGAACATGGGTTATAGGAAAAATAGTAATAATTCAAACTAGCCTCAGTAAGTATGTTATCTCGTAAAACGTTTCATAAAACATAATCGTCAAATCATGCTTTTCATGTATGCATTTCTACTATCAAAACATGCATTTTTAGAAGGGGTCCACTCACCGTACTTCGCCGTCGAAAAGCCACGCCATCTAGCAAAGAAGGAAACGCCATCGATAATTGCCCCTAAGCACATAAATGGTACATTTAATCAAACTCTACTCAAACGATTGAATTTGAGAAAACGGACATCGGAAACGGGTTCAGGACGTCGAAATTAGCCTAGGAGGGGTCCCGCACGAAAACCGAAAAAGTCAACCCCGAGGTCAAAGTCAACGTTGACCGTTGACTGGTCAAAGTCAACGCTGACCGTTGACCGGGTCAACGGTCAACGGGTCAGGGTCAACGGGTCAGGTCCGGGTCAGGGTCAACGGGTCAGGTCCGGGTCAACGGGTCAGGGTCACGGGTTTGGGCTTTAGGGTTTGGGTTAGGGTAAATGGGTTTAGGTTTTAGGTGAATTGGGTTTGGGTATTGGGTTTGGACTTGGGTTGGATCCGGGTTGGGCCTAAAGGGTTTGGGTCTAATGGGTTTAGGGTTAACGGGTCAGAGGCCCTAAAACAAACGGCCCAAAGGCCTAATTACAAAGGGTGTTGGGTTGGGCTGCCCAGGTTTTGGGCTTGGCAGGAAAGGCCCAAAGGCCTTGGGTGTTCGCCGGAGTCCAAAGAGGGAGAAGGCCGGATTTCGGCCGGAGAATTCCCAAGCTCCGTTGGAGCTCAAAACTCAACCAAAACATGTCATTCAATATACCAAATTGAAGCCCCGAAGGTAAGGAATCGAAATATACCCTTGGTTCCCGTCATTGTGGCCGGAGTTGGCCGGAAAACAGCTTGGAAGCCACGGGTGTCCGCCGGAAACTGGGTAAGATTCAAATGAGCATAACTTCTTCAATACTCAATGAAATTAGGTGAAACAAAAAGGAAAGTTGTAGTACTCAGCGAGACGAAGAGATTGATACCTCGCACGCCGGCCAACTCGCCGTGGTTTGGCCGGAAATCGCCTCGAAAAGGGCGGTGCTCGCCGGAAAACTGAGAAATGTCTCCCGAGGTGGTTTCTTCGTGGTTTGACGTCCCAAAACACATCCACGGGGTTAGAAAAGAGTTATAGGCGTGGGCATGGGTGTGTGTGTGTGTGTGTGTGTGGGTGTGTTCTTGTCGGACCGAGAGGGGGGGAAAAGAGAGAGCATGGAGGAAGAAAGAGAGAAGAGAGAAGAGACTTTTCAAAAAAAAGAAAAGGGAAAGGGAAAAACCGGGGAACAAAAACAGGGGGTGGGCCCCTTGGGCTCACCAATTAAGGCTCAAAAACAATTTTTAAAAGAAAGGTATCCCTAAACTTAGTGAAAATACAAAAATACCCATTTTCTTACGTAAATCCCGGGACGGGATGTTACAATCTACCCTCCTTAAAAGAATTTCGTCCCGAAATTTAAAATCACAACTTAAACCGAAATACTCGAAAATAGGAAGAAGAATATATGTATAATGAGAATTCAAGTCAGAGTGGGTGCATCAAAGAGAAAATGTCACACCGTCGCGAGCGGTTTGCCAAATCCTCTATCATGCCTCCAAGCTCTTACTTTCTTCCCCATCAGTGTAAAAGTAGAAACATACTTTAATAAGATATAAAGTCGAAAACATATATTGACATAAGGTCAAAAATAAGTACGCAAAATACTATAGCGTCAAAATAGTCAAAATAGATATGTACTAACATATAGGTCGAAAACTCACGCTTAACTTAAAACTGAAAATGGAAATACTTCCCCCAAAACATTTTAACTGAAAATGAAAATCAAAACTGAACTCAAAACTGAAAAATGAGAGTGGGTCTTGCCTAAGCATACGAACGTCACGTACTCCGAGAAAAGATGCGCCTCTAGGTCAAGTCCTAACAATAGTGAATCCGTGCCAACTGCTGAAGACGAATCTTCCTGCCCACTTGCTTAACGAATCCAACAAATAAGTTTTCAATACCACAGTCGGCCGCCCGTGATATCGATCACACATTTGTTGTCTTGATAAGCAAGTAGTAATTTGCTGAGGGTGCACAATTTCACGCGTCGTAAATTCAATCTTTCGAATACTAGTTCCCAATACTCCTCTGCTAACTAGTATTGCCTGTAGAACTCTCGTACCATGTCGCAAAAATGGCGTACTCAAACCAAACAAAACAGAAACTGTCGTCATAAAACCCTATCCAGTATCAAGCATACTTACGCTGAATCGATCGATCGTGAATTCTTCACTGATTGAGCGAGAAACCATGTAGAGAAGGCTAAAAGAACACTCAAGAATTTGAGGATCAAAACAAGTCTATTAAAACTAGAGTACAAGATATCTGGATGAGTGAGAAGTCATGCCAAGAACAAACAAGCAAAGGAAGGTAAAGATGCAGAAATAGAAGTCACTGTTTATGATTATTTGGTTAATCAACACGGTAAGGTCGACTGGTTCCTTAGCCAAAAAGGAAATAGGTATAAGCTCAAGAAATAGTCAAGAACTGTTAATAAGATTTGACGAGATCAAAGACATTTCGAAATTCACAATACTTTGTGAGAGCTGTTTCAAAGTTCAAAAATTAAACATAGAACCTCTGAATCAACAGAATGACGAAGAAGAAAGATACAAAGCAGTCTGTGTAAGCATGCAATGACACGATTGGCTAACTCAAAGTTATGCCCTTGAGCAAACCAAAGCTCAATGAGTCCAGAGAAGCTCAAAGTAAAGCCCGATCTTCGTACAAAGATGAATATGGTAGTCTCAAGCCATTACATTGAAAATTATAAGGCTAAACAATTAGTGGACAAGAGTACTGGTCAGTTGGGCTACACGCAAGAGGCTAAGTTCACCTCCACCGAAAAGTATGTGGACAAGGTGCTAGGATTTACCGCCTAGTGCCAAACCCAGGTGAAGTTCAAGAAGTCTGTTTATCCAAACAAGTATGGATCTTCATCAACCAAATCCAACTATAACAACAAAAAGAATCGCAACTCCTTTTGGAAAATTGGTGGGAATAGCGTCTGCTACCGAAGAGTCACTTAAGAAATTATCTAATTTAAATGAAGTCAACGCTTGAAGAATTTGGTATAGAGCTAACGGTCAAAGGTTAAGGAACTTGACTTCGCCGTTGAGGTAAGCAAGGAGGTTACTGGTAAAACAATCATCGAAGATTCATTCTACCGGTTCACACGAGTTTCTTCAGTGGTAATGAGCTTGAGAACATTGATTTGCTCCCGCTAACTACCACTTACTAATCGTCGTCACCACTAGCGCTTACTTGCTTTCTCAAACACGCACTTCGAATATTTCAAGTAGTTGCCACTGCAATATGACTCTGCCCGCCATTCCTAGGGAACGCATGTCGCAGAGTGATGTCATCATTTCAAGGTTCTAGTTGATCTCAACCAACTCGTAGCGTCAAGATTTTTTTGTTTCCCGAGATTTCGATGTAGAGCCGACTCTGCCCGCAATTCCTAGGGAACGCATGTCGCAGAGTGGCATCACCATTTCGTATCTACAGCTGCTCTTGACCAGACTCCCTTAAACTGAGATTTCTAAAACACGTCGCTTCCAAGTAACGCGAACGGTGCCCGCCATTCCCTGAGAATGCACGTCGTAGAGTACAAAACCGCTTCATATCTTCCAAATTCAACTCACTTAGGGTTTTTCCGTTTCTCAACGCTCCTAGGTAAATCCAATTATGTCCGAAATTCCCAGGGAATGCACGATGTAGAGTATCGATCCGATGTCCAAAGTCATCCAACCATCCACTTTATCACTACTGAGGCACAATCCCGACACGAATTCTTGTATTTCAACCAGAAGGTGAAAATTCAAACAGCGAAAGGTTTGCACAACTATGCCGAATGACACCAAAACCGGAAGTCATGATATCCAAATGATATCATGACAAACACACTACTACACTAACAGAAGATCCTAAGTATGCTCTGAACAAAACCACGCTCTGATACCAATCTGACACGCCCCGACCCCGATATTCCCCGAATACCAGGATCGGCACGTGCTGGCCGACACCCGAGGGTGACGAAAGCCATTTATTAAGTGCAAATGCTGAAAATAAAGGATAAATAAGGTTTATAAATATAAAAGAATAATGAATATGCAAATAAGGACCGTGTTCAGAGCACACCACTAATCTAGAACACTAAAAGAAAATAATATAAAATTGAATGAACAAAGGAATGGGTCCTACACCGAGAGGACTCGAAGATGCCGATGCGGAAGTGCCTGGACGTCGGGATTGTATGCCTCGATTCTAAGTCCTGAAGGGGGCGCAAAACAAACATGAGTGGACCAAGTTGATATATATATATATATATATATATATATAATAAAACAGTTATCAACATACTAACCCCCAGGTTTTATGAAAACACATATATATAATGATAAACATAGGTTTTCCGAAACCTAGCATGTCGTGCCATGTCTCAAATCATAATTCGCATAAATAATAAACACTAGTGAATGTCCGATATAACACTTCAGGCCCCATGCCGGCTCCCCGTCTCTGAGCACACAGTCAGAGGAAAATACACTTCAGGCCCCGTGCCGGCTCCCCGTCTCTGAGCAGACAGTCAGAGGAAAACACACTCCAGGCCCTATGCCAACACCAAACCGTCGCCCGGGACGGACCGGATCTATCCCTACGTCCCGTAGCGGAAAGGACCACTAGGTAAGTACAAAACCAGTGAACATACATATATTGAAAATCAACTTCATAGTATAAAGTCATCCATCATCTATACTATAAAGAGGTGTTCTAAACATGTTCTAAATATCATATCGTCATCCATCAGATATTCTACAAGAACATGGGTTATAGGAAAAATAGTAATAATTCAAACTAGCCTCAGTAAGTATGTTATCTCGTAAAACGTTTCATAAAACATAATCGTCAAATCATGCTTTTCATGTATGCATTTCTACTATCAAAACATGCATTTTTAGAAGGGGTCCACTCACCGTACTTCGCCGTCGAAAAGCCACGCCATCTAGCAAAGAAGGAAACGCCATCGATAATTGCCCCTAAGCACATAAATGGTACATTTAATCAAACTCTACTCAAACGATTGAATTTGAGAAAACGGACATCGGAAACGGGTTCAGGACGTCGAAATTAGCCTAGGAGGGGTCCCGCACGAAAACCGAAAAAGTCAACCCCGAGGTCAAAGTCAACGTTGACCGTTGACTGGTCAAAGTCAACGCTGACCGTTGACCGGGTCAACGGTCAACGGGTCAGGGTCAACGGGTCAGGTCCGGGTCAGGGTCAACGGGTCAGGTCCGGGTCAACAAGTCAGGGTCACGGGTTTGGGCTTTAGGGTTTGGGTTAGGGTAAATGGGTTTAGGTTTTAGGTGAATTGGGTTTGGGTATTGGGTTTGGACTTGGGTTGGATCCGGGTTGGGCCTAAAGGGTTTGGGTCTAATGGGTTTAGGGTTAACGGGTCAGAGGCCCTAAAACAAACGGCCCAAAGGCCTAATTACAAAGGGTGTTGGGTTGGGCTGCCCAGGTTTTGGGCTTGGCAGGAAAGGCCCAAAGGCCTTGGGTGTTCGCCGGAGTCCAAAGAGGGAGAAGGCCGGATTTCGGCCGGAGAATTCCCAAGCTCCGTTGGAGCTCAAAACTCAACCAAAACATGTCATTCAATATACCAAATTGAAGCCCCGAAGGTAAGGAATCGAAATATACCCTTGGTTCCCGTCATTGTGGCCGGAGTTGGCCGGAAAACAGCTTGGAAGCCACGGGTGTCCGCCGGAAACTGGGTAAGATTCAAATGAGCATAACTTCTTCAATACTCAATGAAATTAGGTGAAACAAAAAGGAAAGTTGTAGTACTCAGCGAGACGAAGAGATTGATACCTCGCACGCCGGCCAACTCGCCGTGGTTTGGCCGGAAATCGCCTCGAAAAGGGCGGTGCTCGCCGGAAAACTGAGAAATGTCTCCCGAGGTGGTTTCTTCGTGGTTTGACGTCCCAAAACACATCCACGGGGTTAGAAAAGAGTTATAGGCGTGGGCATGGGTGTGTGTGTGTGTGTGTGTGGGTGTGTTCTTGTCGGACCGAGAGGGGGGGAAAAGAGAGAGCATGGAGGAAGAAAGAGAGAAGAGAGAAGAGACTTTTCAAAAAAAAGAAAAGGGAAAGGGAAAAACCGGGGAACAAAAACAGGGGGTGGGCCCCTTGGGCTCACCAATTAAGGCTCAAAAACAATTTTTAAAAGAAAGGTATCCCTAAACTTAGTGAAAATACAAAAATACCCATTTTCTTACGTAAATCCCGGGACGGGATGTTACAAACGGCTTTGTTTTGGACCTTAGAGTTTTGGAGTAGGAACGATTTGGTGGCTCGGGCAACGCGGCTTCAAGCTGCAGCTCCCATGCGTGTAGGGTTTGAAAATTCCCATTTTTTTTCTTCTCTTATTCACGCATATTCAATTCACCACAATTATAAGAACAATAAATTTAAGCTGAATCTATAATTTGAAAAGAAAAAAAACGTAAAATTAGAGTTCATGCTTCATGATGAACATGCAATCATTGCTGAAAAAATATTGAAATTGAAACCATGTTTTATAGATTACTTGGACTGCTTGATGAATATTGTGAACAGCTTTGTAGTAAACAAGCATTCAGTTCCTTAGCTCAGTTCCTTTGTAGTAAACAAGCATTCAGTTCATGCTTCATGGTGAATGTTTAACAATGCGTTGTGGCCTAAATTTAACTGAAGGGGAGAGAGAGGGGTGCAGCTGCATAAAGAGAAAAGATAGGCTTGTGAATTACTGTGATGATATTTCTCCGTACCTTGTGCCTTTTTTAAGAAAAATAATGGGGTTACTTGCCCTACAAGTAATACAAAGTTGTGTCTTTTTGTTTTTTGTAATTAATTCTTGAATTGTTTCTCACTAACATTAGTATTTGTTGAGATTATAAATACTCAAATAATGATTTATGTTGTGAAATTGGTGTGAATGCCCACGTAAAGAAAACAACCACATATGACTAAGGGTGGAAAGTGGAAGAATAGAAATCAAAATTATATTGCTTAAATAGTAGAAGTTTGTTTTGGTGTGTAAGCTTTTTACATGCATTAAAAGAGACGTATGCTTGTATCGTATGGGTAGTACAAAAAGATGAAAAGCAGAAAGTAATAATTATGTTTTCCTCATTTGTCCCTCACTACGTTCATTTCTCTTATCTGATACTAGTGAAGAAAATAAACAGAATAATACATGGCTCTCGTTTCACTTCAATCTTTAGCAACTCTGATAATATATATAGGTACGCATTATCGGATAATAACATGTTTCTAAATGTTTATGGTAATCATTATCTTGAATTGATCAAAACTCCAAAAAACTTCAAAACAAAACTGTCAAACACTCTAATGCTTTAGCACATTCAATCACATATATTAAACATTAGCCCGTTCTATCAACTATATTTTTCTCTCAAGTGAGGCATAAATATATATATATATATATATATATATATATATATTATGACCCTTTATAACCAATTATATCTTGGGATACTAAACCTAGTTAGAAACTAATGTTTTTTTTTTTTTTTAGGTTTTACATATAGTAAAATAAATGGTTAAATGGGTACCCATTTATAACTGCGGGTAATATCCATAACCGTCCATTTAAATTTCACAAGTAAATGGTTATATCTATAGCCGTTTATTTATCTAAACGGTTATCCATAACCGTAACCGTCAAATTTAAATAGGCGAATAACCGCAGTTACCCATAACCAATGGGTATTTGTCCATCCCTAACCATAGGGAATGCAAATTCATCACCACCTCGTGAAGCTACTGAGTAAAACCCTTGCGCTCGTCCAACAATCTTGGAGGCGGGATCTTGCTTTTCGGTCAGTGCATCGTCGATCATCATGGTATTACCGAAGGAGGTAATGGTACTGTTTGGGGGCCCAATGATTCTAACAGCACTACGGTTTTTTCCACTGAGAATGTCATGAAAGTAAAAGTGTAGGTGGCTCGTTTTTTCTAGTTGCTGGGCTGTAATGAATTGCCTAATTTGAACTCCATCGTTGGAGTAGAACAAGCTAGAGCAGAGGGTGATGAGACAAGTGAAGTACAGAAATGGAGACAAATTACTAGATCTCTACTGCTCTCTACTTTCTTACGGTGTTATCTCTGTGTGTGTATGAGTGATGGTAGTAGAGCTTTGTGGTCGTTTTATAGGAGTACGATCGGGAGGCAAAGTGGTAAAATGAAAAAATAAATAGAAAACTTCATTTTAATCTCTAAATAAGATTAATTTTTCAATAATACCGTATTGAAGATTAAAAACTAAAAATAGTCCACGTTAGATTATACAGTCCAAGTCATATTTAATTATTTTTCTACAAATTTATTATATTTTTAGTTTTCCTGTATTGCCCTTAGGTATGGATAAATGTTTAAACGATTTGGAGTTATAGGTTCCTCCGATCCCTCTGCATTCGGTTACGATTCAGCTCTCCATCTCCAGCCTCATTGAAGTTTTTCCCTTTTTCTCTGCCGATGACGATGTTCACGCTTCCTTTCTATATTCATTATCAATTTATAGTTTCAGAATTTTCTTATATAAACTCTTGGGTCCAAAATCAAAGTGAAGCAGTTGTTGTGTTATTGACTGGTGATTCGTGCATTGTTCGGGTTTCAGCACTAGTTCCGACCAATCCATCCATTATGGGGTAAATTCTGTAAACTGTAAAATGTTATTTTTTATTTGTGATTCAAAGTACTCATTACTTTTAAGAGGGAATATTTCTCTCAAATGTTTCAGTTTAACTTTTCTCAAATAGTTGAAGCATGGTTTACGTTTGATCAAAATTGTGTTTGGGTTTACGTGATCATTACACAATGCATATAATGTGTTTGATGAAATGCTCGCGTGAATTCTTTTTAAATGATCCCGGACATGCCATCTTGGTGGCATAGTTTTACTAATCTGTTTATTAGTGAGAGTTTTGATGGCACTTTGTACCAAATTTTATAGTATATCATAACATCGGTTTTACTAAACTGTGCACAATTCCTTGCCTGTATGTCCCTGGTGCACCAAGTTCTGTAGTATAATTTTACTGAAGAAGGCATTGTGATAGGTGATGCATTCGTATCTTGTGTGAACAAACTGTGTAACTATGCTTTCATACATCTTGTTTGCTTTCAATTGTTTGTTTAAGAGATTTGACCATTCTGTCTCATTCTTAGGTGCACTTGTTTAGTTCATTGTACTCACTTTCTTTGATGTTTTATTTGTTTGTAGGGGAAATGGAATTGGCTATCATTGCCTCCTTCAGGTAGTCCAAAAATGGCAGCAATATCTGCAACTGTTATCGCCAAATACTTACCACCTATATCAAAGCAATTAAGATCCTTATTGTATGTCTCTAGTATATCAATAACATCGGAGTCGTTCTTCCATGCATCACATGTCGCAATGCCTTCTCTATATGTCCTGAACAAGCCCCAAAATGGTGTCCTCTCCATAAGTTCTAGGTGGATAGGTTTGATATGATTTTGAAATTTTTGGTAGGCTTCTGCAAAGGTCCCCATGTTAGACCTGTATTGTAGGAATGAATATTCACTCCTCCTTTGTTCCATAATTCATGTTACCTGTGGATTCGTACAAGATGGAAACTCATTAGGGTTTACAAAATGATTAAAATGCATCAGGTATTACAACAAGATGGATTAAATAAGTCCTCAGGTGGATTCAAACATAATTAGTACAAACGGTAATAGCTTTTTCATACCGAGTCATTCGGACCTACACTATAAACGTAAATAATTGAAAGTGTGCCCAAATTGTTCATACCAAATCAAACAGACCTAAACTTCATAACATAAGTAATTGAATTCACAACCTAATTGACTATACCGAACCAATTGGACCTAAACTACAAAACGTACCTAAATGGCCGTACCAATTTGATCGGATCTAAATGATAGTACCAAATCGATCAGACCTAAATGACCGTACAAAAATTACCAAAAAAAAAAAGATGGCACAATACACTATTTTTCAATGAGCTTTCATCCCTCTGCTTCACATGCTATTCTACTTGCAAATTTGCAATGTTTCAATCTCATTTTCCTTTACGCTTTTCTCAAATGCATTCTTTTTTGTTTTTATAGATTTGGATTCAATAATTTAAAAATGAGTCCAAATATAAATAAAAAGAATAATTTTGTATGTAGAGAAAATGACCGTAACGAAACTATATAGTGTACCTAAGTGACCATACGGAATGGAGAGGACCTAATTGACCGTACCGAGTAGAGATGACCTACTTGACCGTATCGAATGGATAGAAGCTAATTAATTGTACCTAATGGAGAGGACCTAATTGACTGTACCGAATGGATAGAACCTAATTGACCGTACCTAAATGAAAAGAGAACCAACATGTACAAAAACCTCCACAAAGGCCTTTCAACAAACACATGGTGTGCATTGCAAATATAAGGGCTTGTTTGGTAGTCTATTTGAAATTTTTTATCATTTCTCAAAACATTTCTTAAAAACAATTTTCTTTAAGACTCAAAAACTTGATTGGTTTGCGATTTAAAATTTTTAAATCTTACGCCTTAAACTAGATAAAGAGATCTAAAAAGAGAGAGTCACAAGAGAGGGAGAAAGAGGAGAGAGGAGGAAAGAAAGTAAGAGATGATTGAAGGAAAGAGAAAGAAGGGAGAGGATCGGACGAGATAGAGAGAAAGATGAGTGAGAGAATAAAGAGAGCGGATTGGAGGAGAGACGAAAAAAGTAAAAAAAAAAAAAAAAAAAAAAAGAGGAAAGAGAAAGAAGAAAAGAGAGAGAGAGAGAGAGAGAGAGAGAGAGAGAGATTTGGAGTGAGAGGGGAGGATGGAGAGAAAAGAAAGGACTGAGTTTTAAGTTTAAAAACTCTAAAAACTCACTTTTTATGTTTCTAGATAATAGACTATATTTTTGAGATAGTCTTGAATTCAGTTTTTTAAAATAGTCCTACCAAACTAGTTTTTAAAGCCTAAAACTCGAAAATTGTTCTTGAGTTTAAAAAGTTAGATTCAAATAGAGTACCAAACAGGTCCTAAATTCTTACTAAAACAATGAAACTTTTTGGACCAATACATACAAACCATATCACCAAGCTATATAAGTATCAACTGGTGTGTTGGTTATGAGAGCTAAACACATTCTCCACACCATATAGCTTATGATTAAGACAAACCGTACCAACTGCTGTGTTGATTAAGACAAAAAAAAAAATATATATATATATATATATAAACAGTAGCTTAGAAGTGATTCGTGGGTTCTGACGATGGCAGCGAATCGAGGAAGCCAAACAATCGTAGCTTCAAACAGATTTTCGTGGAGCATGGGTCCAGATGATAACAACACTATTTGTGAAAGTAGACAACTTGTTTGAAAATTTGAAAATTTTCGGGCCTGTTTGGTATCATACCCAAAAACTTTGGTTGTTCCTAAAAATAATTTTCAAATAACATCACTTAAAAACAGTTTTCTTTTAAGTCTCAAATTTTCAAAAATCTGTTTGGTTGAATTTTTTAAAATAATTTTTTTTAGTTTGAATTCAAACTTCCTTGAACAAAAATTGGAGAGAAAGAATTGGGAAAGAGACAAGAGAGGAAATAGTTGGGGAGGAGAGTGAAAGAAAGGGGGAGGATGAGGAGGATAGGGAGAGAGCAAAAAATTACGGTGAGAAGGTAAGGAGTGAGAAGAATTAGACAGTGATGAGAGAGAGAGACAAGACAGGCTGAGGAGAAAGAAAAGGCACGGTGTGATGTGGGGAGAGAAGAAAGAGAGGATTGGGAGAGAAAAAAAGAGGGTTAGGAAGAAGCAAAAGATGTTGAGAAAAGAGCAGGAAAACTCTAAAAACTCACTTTTTGTGTTTTTAAGAAATAACCTATGTTTTTAAGTTAGTTTTGAATCCAATTTTTAAAAAGAGTCCTACTAAACAAGAATTTAAAGCCTAAAACTCAAAAAGTGTTTTTGAGTTAAAAAAGTTGAACTCAAGTAGAATACCAAACAAGTCCTTCATTATTACAAGTACAATTCAAGGTTGCTTTAACGTCACTCTCTCTCTCTAATTGACTGTTACGTTTCTGAAACAATTAAGATGGCAGACATGTAAATAGTGGTAAAATGTTTGGTATTATTATAGGTGACATGTCATTATGCATTGAAATAAATGATTTTTTTAGATACTAAAAACATCTCAGATTATATTCTAAAAATCATCTTGTCCTTATCTCTAAAAGCCCCAAAAATAAAACCCTAGATGTCATTATCTTTACTCCAAATTCGACTTGGTTGATGCATTTTCAAGCAATCACTGCTTTGTGTCGGCCTCCACTGTTTTTTTCTTCATTTTCCTTTTTTTTTTTTTTCCTGGTAAAAAGGCCTTTACTTTGCTTCCATATTTTTTTTTTCATTTTTTTCCTTTTCGCAAAAACATCCCATTGCTTTTGAACCACATGGAAAAGAGATTTGACCCCAAAAAACAAAAGAATGGAAAGCTTCTATCTCTCTGAAGTAAGTATGACTAAAATCTAGTAACTATGTGGCAAGCAATTTTATCTCGGGCAATTGGCTAAAATCATAAAAAAATAAATTTTGATTGTCAAACTAATCAACGCTCTTATAAACGTGCCATATCATCCTTGTAAACCCATCATTCATTCTTATAAACTCATCATCTTTTTTAATTGATTAGTCCAACACTTAGATACTGTGAAATCATCAGAATAGCCAATAATTACTATCTGCATTCTAAACATTGTTATAGTAATACATGATTGAGAAGGTTCAGTTAGTCGAATTTTCTATAGCCGAACTTGATTATACAAGTCTCATTTTCGTCACGATACAATTTAGCACTAGTTCCTCATAGTAGAATCCTTAGAGATAGTCCAATGGTGAGGAATTTTGTAGCAACCCGTCTTCAAAAATTAAAGTTTTTATAATTTTAATACACGAATTTACGAAAATGCCCCCTGATGCAAAAATGTTGACTTTTGTTGACTGCATTGTCGTGTCACATAAGATTCATTCCCTTGGCATAGCCTCGTAGTACTTGTTGTTACAAATGTGTGGGCACAAGCGGAAGTGAATTTGGGGCTAAAACGAAGATTTTACGGGACTCGAAACGATAAAGGTATTTTGGTAATTTTCCAAGCCAAGATATTTCCACCTTGGACCACTCCCGGAGTGACACGTGGCCGATTCTCCCCATTTTCTGGGACGTTCCCTTGCCCATGACCTCTTTCTCTTCCCTCTCTTCCTCTTTTGTCTCTTTCGGGGAAACAACCTTATCCCTCAGCTCTTATCTCTCCTCTCAGCTACCTCTCTCTTTCTCTCTCTCTCTCTCTCTCATCCCTCCCTCATATATTTGCCATTCCATCACCTTTCTCCCGTGCCCTACCTATGCAACAACAATGGCAACACCCACACACTCGTAGGATCACCAACACAGCCACCTCCGCCCCTCGTCTCTCTCTATTTCCCTTCTGTCTTCATCCATGTCTGTGCAAGCAGCACAAGAAAAACATAAATATCTCGCCGTCTCAAGCGAACTCCAACCCTCGACGATTTCGACGTTGGTAAGCTTTGGGACATTCTTAATCTTTTCATCTTTATCCTTATAGTTATTATTGATCGTGGCATTGTATTTTGGACGGTGGAACTTCATAGAGACAACGTGGGGACTTTTCTCGAGATTCCGGCGAAGTCCGAAGGTTTCGAGCCCTTTTTTGACCAAATCAGACCACGATCAAGGAAACCAAAGGTATGGTTCGATTCCTTGTCTCCCAGGCTTCAAATTGATATATTGGGGTGCAAGGTTTGGTTGAGTTTTGAGCTCGATCAGAGCTCGACAAATTCCCGACCGAAATCCTACCTTCTCCTTCGTTGGGTTTGACAACTTGCGAGTTTAAATGGGTTAAACCCGATCCGCACTCAAAACCCGGCCTAAATATTTGGGTTATGAAACCCGATCAGTAACTTGGCTCAATCTACTAAATCAAGCCCAACCCGACAATTGGATCCAACCTAGGCCCAACCCAACAACCCAAGCCCAGACCTAGATCTGACCTGGATCCCATCCCAATTCCATGGTCCTTGCATGGGTCGGCCTATGGGTGCACGTCATGGCCAGTGCGTGGAGTACACACGCCTCCACCGACTTCCATGGCGGCGCTAGCGACATTCCCAGTGAACTTTTCGACGACCCATATCGACACGTGACGGCGCGTGCGGTGACGCATGGTCTTCTGAGCTGCCGCCTTAGGGCAGCTAATGAGGGAACCCGAGGTCCCTCCTTAAGTTTTTCGACGTGCCAAATCCGAATTCGTTTTCTGTTTTCCGAAATTTGCTTGTTTTAGTAGAGTTTTACTTAATGGCCTCTATGTGTTTAGGTGCATCGGTGGGAAGTGACTCTATCTTCACTCGCTTGAGCAGCTTTCAGGCAACAAAATATCTATAAGTGGACCCCTTCTAAACTTGCATGTTTTTATAAAATATTAGGCTTGCATGCATTTCATATTTCATGAATTGATTATGTTTTATAATATGTTTTACGGATTTCCATAATTATGGTTTACGAAATATTTAGGATTTACCGAGTTTACGTTTTACAAAAGGTTATGAATTATTGGATTTTCGTATATGAATTCTATGGATATATGAATATGGTTTATCATGGTTATGATGAGCCTTAGAGCTTTTGAGCTCCGGATTTGATATGATATTTTGAGATATGTTTTTTGTGCTTTTCTAGCGGGTTATCATACAGCACATCCACACAACATGGGTATGTAGACGTCTATGGCCATAGGACACAGATGAGGATATTTATGTATATACCTCTTCTCCGACGTAACCTGAAGTCGTACAGCTTCACCTTTTGGTGATGGACCATGGTTTCTTCATTGACGTAACCCAGTGTCGTACAGCTTCACATTCAGGTGATGGACAAGTACTGTCTTCGGGCGAATGAGGAGTGAGATATTTATGTCATACCCCCAGCTTCACTAGCCCGGGGCTAGTGTCGGTGTGTGATGTTATATGTATATGTTTCTTCTCCGGCATAACCCCGAGTCATACAGCTTCACCTTTGGGTGATGGACCATGATTTCTTCACTAGCGTAACCCAGTGTCGTACAGCTTCACCTTTGGTGATGGTTATGCCTTTGAGCCACTATGATACCCCTAGTGAGTACAACATTATCGAGATTTACGGATTTACCTTCGGCGGCGATAGCAGCATTTTAGAGCATGGCTTTACATTATACATGTTTTACGAATATTTTCATGGCATGTAAAGTTTTCGGAAAACTACTATGTGGTACTATATATGTGTTTTCAAAACAGGGGGTTAGTATGTTCATAAAGAAAATGGTTTTCTTATTATAGCACTATTATTATAAACTTTGGTCCACTCACCTTTTCTGTTTTGCGCCCCCTCAAGAGTTAGAATCGAGGTACACAATCCCAGCGTCAGGACATTTCCGCGTAGGGATCTTTAAGTCTTCTCAATGTATGACTCATTCCCTTGTTCATACCTTTTATTATAATTCTTTCGTATTATTCTTAATTAGTTGTATGCTCTGAACATGATTCTGCATTTGTATATATCTTTATAATTGCATATTTTAATTTGCATGCATGTTTCAAATGGATTTGTCATCCTCGGGTGTCGGCCAGCACATGTCTATCCTAGTATTTGGAGATATCAGGATTGGGGCGTGTCAAATTTAATTCATTGTAGTTGCACCCTTGTTGGGACAAAATAATTCATTGCTAAAGTTCGTCATTTTTTTCGCCAAAAGCTGTTTTCTCGCTGTAGGATTAACAACAGTTGAAATTTTTTTATAGTTTCCACGAGGAAAAAGAAATTTCCTCGCAAAAATGGCATGTTCAATGAGGAAAGGGCATTGCGAGGCAATTATTCTTTCCTCGCCATAAAACAACTTAAGGGGTGGATGTTCCCTAGTCCGTAAAACAGCTTAGCTCTATAAATGCCCCCATTAGGTGCGAGCGTTAAGGGCAATGGCCAACAGAACACGCTCTGCAGTGATGTTGACATGAAAGAAAGAAAGAGAGAAAGAGAGCTGAGAGAGAGTGGAATTGAGTGGGAAGAGTGTGGTTGGAGGGCGAATGGTGGTTGCGAATAGTGGCAGAGTGGAAATGGGGAAAACGAGAAAATAGGTTTCGAAAGCTAAGGGGAAAACTGGGTGCAGCTTTGTGTGGGATTTGAGATGTGGGGAATATTGGACACTGGAAGATTAAGGATGCGAAGGGAACGGAGAGAGATAGAGAGACTGGGAGTCTGAATCCTGTTATGGTTACCTCTTTAACTTTTAGTCGCTACAAGCCTACAGCTAGGAAAGAGAGATTTCCTCGCTAAGAGTCCATCGACACCGAGAAAACACATTTTCTGGCAAAATATTTTATATTCTTGCTATAGTAAGGGACAAGTTTAGTGATCACAATCGGCTTTGTTTTTGCGATGAATGGATAATATCCTCACCAAAAGTGCTTTATAGGCGACTTTGTTTTAGTGAGCCGAGCTAGATTTAATTAACAAAAAGTTCTTTCATAAAGAAAAAGAAAATGGTTGGCCTAAAACATTAAGCGTGCGGGACCTAAAACTTTGACACCAAACGAAATTGTATTTATTATAGGACCGTTTCAGTTCTCTAAAATTTGAAAACTAAAGAAGTTAACTGACTTTTTGGTTTTTAGTTTTCAAAACTTATAAACTGATGTAATGACAAAATGATTTTTTAGTTTCATGTTTTCATAAAAAGTAAAAATTAAAAACGAAATTGTTATCAAACAGTCCATACACTTATTTTTAAGGCCATCAATCTTTTAAGCAGAAATAAAATCACATTCACTACAAAATTTCGTCAAATTCCACTCATTTTAAAATCCATCATATGAGAATAGTATTATTTCAAATCCAATTATTTCTAGTTATAAGATTAACGTAGCCATTCCCTAATTAAGTACAATAGATGTCTCTATAAGGGATTAAGGAAAAACAAAATATAAAAAAGTAAAAAGATATTTTTCTCAACAATGGCTAGCCTAATACAAAATTCAGGAGTCTGACACATAAACATTGTACTCAACAATGGCATCTCCTGTAGCAGCATCAAACCAAACCGTATGGGCTAAGGCATAACCTCGAGCAAACCTCAACTGTCCCGTGCCTCCAACAACCGGCATCTCTCTCACATTGTTCATGACCGGATTCCTCCCGAGAATGCTAATGCTACTCCCCTTATACTTGCCTTCCACAAAAACACAATTCATGACCATAAGGAATGCAAATTCATCTGCTTGCTGTGAAGCCACTGAGTAAAATCCTTGTGCTCTTCCGATGAGCTTGGAGGCGCGGTCTTGCTCTTCAGTCAGTGCATTATCAATCATCATAGTGCTTCCAAAGCCGCCAGCAGTACCATTTGGCGGCCCAATAATTCTAACAGAGGTAGGGTTTTCGCCACCAAGGATGTCGTGGAAGAAAAAGTGGAGGTGGGTTAAGTTTTCTGTTTTCCCGCCGGATCTAACGAATTGCCTAATTAGAACTCCATCAATGGAATAGAGAGAGGTTGCATACAGGATGAAGATAGAGTAGTAGAGAAACGAAGCCATACTAGTCTCTCTAGTGTGTAGTGTGTGTGTGTGTGTGTGTGTGAAATATAGACTTCTGGTAAGATTTGTGGTCACTATAATAGAGGAGGAAGAGGGCAAGTTTTAGAAGTTGGTAACACATTAATCAAGTGTGTCCCGTTTACCGAAATTCTATGGTGATCCAGAGTATCTTATATTTTAAACTTTTTAACTGTTAGATGTTAGTTTTTGAGTTTTTAACTAATGATAACGGTTAAAATCCCTGAGTAACCGATACTCCGAAATACCATAAAAATTCCCATCTTGCTTAATTAAAGGATGGTTGGTCTGGTTGGTGTATTTTCAAGCAACTACTGCTTTTTGTTGGGTCTACAAGCCTATAAGAGTGTTTGGCTTTTAATTGCTTTACCACATCATGGAAAGTTTGAATCCCTTTGAAGCAAAGAAAGATTGAAATCCAGTGATGGGTAACCAAATGTCAAACATTACATGAAACTTTAAAGTTTTGTTTTAGGAATCGACAGGCATGAGTTTGGTGTTCTGTTATAAGGTTATGTGAGACTTAAGTTAATGCACTTATATGATGATGACAACGAAAACAATGATAACAACAATTGGCTTTCTATTTGGGCCTGATTTTACATTAAGTACTCAGATGGACATTTAGGGTTGGTTTATTATTCAGTTGAAATTTTGTTTACATCGAAGTGGTCTCTCGGAAGAATGAGGATTCTCAGAATTTTTTTAATCGTGTCTATTCATCGTACATCATGTGCTAAAAAATCAGTTTAAATTTTTTATTTAAAATTGAACACAAATAATACCTGACAAAAACTAGTCGCACGATTTACAATCAACGGATACGATTAAAAGTTCCTCTGGATCCTCACAAAGAGCATTCGAAGAGAATCCTCATTTCTCTTGGACAACCTTTAAGTTTATTTTAAAGTAAAATGACTCTTATAATCATATGTAAAGTTTGATGAGAGAATGAACCTTACATAAGTTTGGGTTTTCTCCATATTGTTAATTGGTTTTATAGTGAAATCACAACTTTTTCATGGTATATCTTGCATGTGAAGCTCTACAACCACACATATACTCCACGGGTTACCAAATTTGTCTTATTGTAAAGGATTTATTAGATTTTTTTAAGGGAGTTTTAATGAAAAACCCAGGTACTGTTCATTTTAACGAAAAACCATATTTTTACACTAAAAAGTCAATCCTGCTACTATTCATTTTACCCTTTATTTTGTCCTTATCATTAAAACTTAAAGTTTTCAAACCCTTTTAATTAGTTTTTTTTTTAATTAAAATATTAATTAACTGTACAGCCTTTTTGGACACCCACTAGGATTTTGATACAAAAGAATGGACAAGGATCCTCTTCGGATCCTCTGTGTGGGGATTCAGGGGATCAATCAATTGTGTCTGTTCATCGTATATCATACGGTTAGAAATTATTTTAAATTTAAAATTAAAATTAAATATAATAGTATCTAACGAAAACTAAAATTAAATATAAATAGTATCTAACGAAAACTAACTGCACGATATACAATGAACGGACACGATTGTTTGATCCCCGAATCTCACAAAGATGATCCGGAGAGGATCTTATTCCCAAAAGAATGTGATCATCAAGTACTATATCTCACACCTTCACTTACTTTTTTCTCTAACTCTCCAACATCAACATACATACTTCTATCCTAAAAATTAGATACTTGTTTTCCAAATATGGATACGCATGTTCATCAAGTCAAATTCATATTTGTTGACCATGATATGTATTCGACGAGTATCCGAGAATATCCTACGAGTATCATATCCGATGAAGTATCGCATACATAATACGTGACCAAATTGTATTCGTGCTTCATAGTGTGTCACAGACTGACGGATTTGAGCCCACTTTGTACTCAAATTCAAGTACCTATTCGCCGTTGAGATTCATATAATGTAGAATAGTAGTTGTATCAAAAACAAAAAACCTGTCACAAAGTATGATAATTGATAAGACTAGACAAATAGTTAAGGAGTGGAAATCTAAAAAAAAGTCTTTTAACTACACTAAGGGAAGCGGGTCATGAAAGTTTGATGCAGTGTGCTGAAGAGTAAAGCCCTAACTACCAAGGATCTTCTTACTGCTTTTATAGGAACTGGATAGAAATTGTCGAGTATTTTACTTCTTTAAAAAATGGTCTCCAACACATGTTTAGGCATGTAGGATATGAATAGAGTATGATAACCTAAGACTGTGAACTATTGACAATGCCCTTGAAAAGCGGTCCTCATGCAAGTTCTGTTCTGATATTTGATGGAATTGAGGACGGAAACTAACCGATCCGATGTGGTGGTAAATTCATAAAAGTGGGCGAGTCTAGACTCCATTTGTGTAAAATTTCCGGTGCATGTGTAAGTAGTTTGCACCAGTAATCCGTCACCAACTGAAGGATAATTAGGGCATTACATCACAAGGAAATACAATGTAATATTACTGGAGATTTGTCAAAATGTCTGATGATTCGAAATAGACAAGAAACGTTTGTTAAAACAAACATATGCTACAAATCAATGTAAAGAATCCAAAAACATGAAAAAGAACAAGAAAGCCGAAACTTTTCCTATATCATAGCTTGAAAGTATTGTCATTGCTTATATTTATCCTTCCCTTCAATTTCTTTTGCTGTTGTACCACAAAAATTGAAGCGTTGCTGTTGAAATCTGACGAAACAAGCAGGTCCCCAATGATCCCCAATTCCGGGAATTCAGTCCACTCTGAGAGACCTAATGTCTGAGGGGATTGTAAGCCATTCCTTCTCCCAACTATGATAAGCTCATACTCATTCATCATAGACCGAAGTATTCCTGTTGTTCGAACTGAATCATTTGATGTCTTTTCTATGTATGTAATATTCTCGTTTCCAACATTATGCTTAAAATCCTTCAACAGCTCATTATCAAGAATCGTATCCCAATCAGGCATTTTGTGATCATCCTCGGCATCTAATCGTACTACTGTTAGGCTGAAGCTCCTGGGATCTTTGCTGACCCGTTTTGCAAATGTCAAGGCCTCCCTATCGTCCCTACCCCCTAAGAAGATCATGGCGATGCGATACAACACTGAAGGACGTCTCAAATAGCCACGGTGAACAATAATTCCTATTGAACACGGAGCCCTCTCAAGGACACTACAATTTAGTGCCCTTGTATTATTGTCCTCAGACTCTATGCTTCCATCGAAGGAGAATTTTCGATGAAATGGGAGTAGTATAATGGATGTAAGTTTGTCAAGCCCAAGTGTGCATATATCCTCATGCATTGTGTTGGGTGGAGAGATGGCTGTAAATATGTTCACGAACACAGCACCTTGATTGTTCAGTTGATACTGGTCGAAGGGGATGATGACATTTTCACTATAGGCAATGTCACATGTAACCTTTTCATGAATATGGTGGTCAATAAAGAGAGGGGCGGATCTACCAACTAGCTCAATAAGGTGAAGGGCATTCACAAAAATTGGACTCCCTCCTGTTGGGCATGAAACATCAAGAAGGTTGATGATAGGAGCGACATCATAGTGTGAGTAAATGCATGCAAGTATTCGGAGCTCAGAATTCGGTTTCAAATCCATGATGTTCCTTTTCTGGTAGCCTGCGTATTTCCTTGAAGGATCATACAAGTAATTCACCATGCTTGGCACAAGTATTGCTACAGTCAGAACACTAACGATCAGCACGGCGAATGTTTGGTCATCAATGGTCTGCAATATTCGAGGCCGGAAAAAACCAAGCAAAAAAATCAGTTAAATGCATTTTTTATTGCATATCGAGGGTTAGGGTTTAGATAGAACGATATAAAAGTTAAATGATTGGCGTGCTTAAGTGAATACCTTGAAGTCATGGAATAAGGAATAGGAGGCCAACTCAACGATGCCCTTGGCACTCATAATGAAACCAATTGCAAGAGCATCATTGAAGGGCATCTTGCAAATCAAAGCTGGCACAAAACACGCCATTACTTTGGACACAAAAGTTACTACCAGAAGGATTATGTCCAGCATTAACAATTCACCATCATATGTTACGAATGAAAAATCAGCCTTCATTGAACATATAGTTACAAAGAGTGGCACCAAAACTCCGCTGGCGACACAATCCAGCATTTTCACTAGAGCTGAGCCTAATGGTGGTCCGGCTGGAACAGCTAATCCCAAAATAAATGCACCGAAAAGTGCGGTTTGGTCAAATGCATGAGAAAGAAAGGCAGAAAGCATTAGCAGTACGAAGATGGTGTAAAGGTACACATCCTTAACAGGTTTGCCTGCAGGTGTATGTCTCACAATCCAAAAGAAGGCAGGACGAATAATGAACACAACCGTGAGAAGAAAGCCAATAAGTGATGCAATGTCAGTGAAGATTTTGTATTTTGGTTGGCCAGTTCCCATGAAAACTCTCAAAAAAGTAGCAGTACTTGTTATAATCACATTGAGCATGTCGCCGATTAGGGCAGTAGACAATCCCAACCGACCTAGTTCTGAATTTAGGAGTTTGAGGTCCTCAAGAAGGCTAGAAACGACAGCAAATGAAGTCAAAGAATGTGTGCCTGCTACAAAAAAAACCTTCTCCAGGTCTTGTTCTCTGCGGGTAAAATATACACAAGCCGCTGCAATTGAAAAGCCGAATGATAAGGGCACTACGAGTGACAACACACCAATCGCTAAAGCTTTGTTTCCTGTTCTCTTTATCAATCCCACATCCATTTTCACACCTATTAGAAACATAAACAGACAGTAACCAAACACAGATGCCGTGCCAATTACATCTTGACTGATGAGTGGAAACAAGGACTCTTTGAATGTTCCCAACTTGTTTTTGATTGAAGGTCCAAGCAGCATGCCAGTCTAGAATTTATTCCATCAAACAGTCCTTTAGAAAACCAAAAATAAAACAACGAAAAAGCTTTCTGATTTCTAATGAAATTGCACGTAACTACTTTGTTATGAATTACTTTACATGCATAAAATTTAAAAATTAAAAAAAAAAATAATAATAATCATTTCATATTTCATCACCATGCGATCATTTTAAAAAATAATAATTAAGAGATTAAGAGTATAGTAGAGAAAGCACATACCACAATTTGTGAGATGAACCTGGGGAGCCTATAATGTTTGAACAGAAGGTGATGAGTGGCTTGAGTGATGATGAAAATCACAACCATCTGAAACTCCAAAAGAGGCACTAATTGATCAGTACGTGCTCGTGCTGGCGCGGAAGTTTTTGAGGGATCGTCCTCCCAGACGACATGAAAGTTCATGTTTGGTGGTAAGTTGAAGCAAACATTGAAGAACGTTCCATTGATATTCTGCAGCACAATGTCATCATCTTCCCCCAAACTCGAAATATTTTTGGACATCTCCTAGAATAATTAAGTTTTTGCAGAAGTAGATATCTATATATCTAAATGCGCTACTTGATTTTTTTTTTTTTTTTTTTTTTTCTTCAAGTGAAGGAAACCAAATGCTGTACGAGGACAATGCAGGAATGTAAGGTGGGGTCGAGATAAAGGTTTTTTCACAGTTTTAACTGCATTTGAGATGACAGTGAGATTAAGTCCTGCACGCGCTCTTTTGACCACCTAATTTAATTACTACTTACCGCGTTGATTACTGACACTCATGTAACCACATTAACCATTGGATGATTCTCAGGTCGTTGCAACGTAAAACTATTGTTCTATATTATGATTTTAGAAGTGTGATTGAACTTAAGATATTGTAATATGAATAACAAGTTAATTACAACTCAATGATGCTGCGTTGGACATTGGAATATCAATGCCATATCTAGATTCACAATTTTTTTAAACAATCAATTCCTAATCAATTACGAAAGAACGAGAGAGGTCGGGACAAAAAAAAAAAAAAAAAAAAAAAAATTAAGTATAACTTGTTGTAACATTATTAGCACATTTGTGATTGTGTAAATTATGGGTAGATTGAGTTTAGGTTTTCCGATTATTCTAGAGATTCTTGCCTATTATCCTTTATATTTACTTAGAGAACAAGTTACTATTTCCTCATGATTTACTATTAATAAAGACATTGGCATAGGGAAAATCACAATGTGTAAACATTCTAACATTCTACAATTTCTCTATGCTCAATCACTTAGCACTTTGTCTCTTTCCACACCCTCTCTCTCATTTAGAAAATCTCTCCTAGAAAATTGGCCACAACATGTTATTAGCACGCTCATTCGGTGAGCTAAGGAATCTGAAGGGGATTTTCTACTATAACCATTGCCAATTATAATTATGCAATTTAGGTTCTTCTAAAATATAGTCTTCTAATTGTCGATATTTTTTCAGTCTTGATTACATGAACCTTCACCATGATCCATGAACTCAAATTTTTCGCATTCCAAATTATAGATTCTACATAAATTGTGATCGCATTATTTTTCAAAATATATTATCTAAACCCCTCTTTGTCAATCAAAAGAGGATGCAAAAACTATTTAGTCTTCTATCACAAAAAAAATGATGGGCAATAATGTAATTTCACAAATCTAAATTTTACTGTTTTTTATTGAACTCTCACCTAAGTGATGTTAAGATATATTTAATATTAAAAAAACAAAAAACAAAAATCTCCCACTTTCACCCACGTTTTCTCTCTCTCACTCTCCCCTTCCCATTTTTTCAGAAAAAAAAAATTATTTTTACACACAAAGTGTGTAGGCAAATGTTAGGTATGTATTACGTGAATTGATTATGGTGAAGAATCAAAAGAAACAAAAATTAAGGTTTGAATAAACCCCTGCGCCATACTAGTACCTTAAAACCTTCGATATCCTCGTAGGGATTCAACATCAACGCCTCAAGAATGGGAGATTTTTCAGTATGACCGGTATACGGGTGGTACACCACATGTCACTATACAAATGGTGGAATATATGCACTAAAAAGTTAATAACTTAAAAAATGAAATTTCCCACCACTTCTTTAAAACATATGGCGTACCGCTTGTGTTCCCGCCACAATTAAAAATTTCTCAGGTATTTATGACATTTACAATATAGAGGCAGTCCATGTGTTACATTTACAAGATAGAGGTGGTCCATGTGTTACGATGGAGTCGTGGATTGTCTGAGACTAAACTAGTTAAACAATACTGAAGTGTTTGATACAATACTGGACTTTAAAAAAAAAACAAAAAACAAAAAACAAAATTTTCTTTGCTTTTTAAAATTCACTTTTCCTTTACACAACCAAAAATAAAAATAATTTCTGATGAATTCAATAGTAATTTATGACTAGTTCATTATATGATTTAGACCAAACCTTCTCTACTTAGGCATCATTTGGTCCATCGACGATGAGCTATGGTCCACCGATAATGACTAGCTCATTATCAGAGATTGCAAAAAATAACTTTAATCAAGGAGGTCTACTGATAATTGAAGAACCAGAGCAAACGAAAATCCAGATCTACAAACCGGCGATGAGCAACAGCCACCCACAAAGGTGGTCCACCGTCAATCAAAGTACCACTCACGTCGAAGAAACATGAGGTCGTATTGGGTAATTGGAGGTGGCTACAGTCGCTGGAGATGATGGTTCGAAAGATGGAATGTGTCACAACATGATAACTTAAGCCAACATGATACAAGGCACATACAACGCAACTTCAAATGCTCAAAAAGTGAAGGAAGGTTTCCAACAAGCACTTGACTTATCTTCTCCAATACTTAAGTACCGCGCTCTTATTCGTTAACAAGAATCTACTGCCATTAAACTTGTCAACTTGCAGAGAGTCCGTGATACAGACCATAAATTAAACAAAAACTCCGCAAAAAAGCTCCATAATTCTTCTATCCATCCTCCGCAACCAAGATAGCACGCTCATAAGAGTTTCTAATCCATACCATACTAATGACAGTTGTTTCACAAAATATTCCACTTTCTCTCCAATGCTATACATATACTTCTCAGGCACACCCCAGCGCTCAGTGGATATCCAGAAACTGCAACATCACATACACATTTATTAACAGATAATATCAGAAACCAAATCAAAATTATTTCTTAGTCCATGAGGGGGACCACCAGACTCCAAGACTACTATTTACAGTCTTGCAGAACAATAATATTAATAAAAAAAACTTCAAAGGATGGAATCTCCTACCGCAACTTCTCACTCAAAGCAACGAATATTACCAAGGGAGAGCCATCGGGTCCATAAACACCCATGTGGCTAATCCATTCAAGTTATAACACGAGGCTGAATCATGTATTTGGCTTTGTTTTAGGTCGTTCCCAAAAATCTCAGTTAAAATTTTTGGCATTGGTTTTTAATTTTTTTATGTTAATGCCTATTAAGACCTTTTTTAATCTAGCGTAAGTTTGCCTTCAGATCTTCTGTACCCAAATATCCCATACCCCTTGTACCACCTCGGTTTTTTTACACTAGATTATCACTACATTTTCCGGCTTATTGATTAGCTTCGCTGCTTGGAAAGCTGATGGGCAGTAGTGATAATCTGTTGTCCAGCGAGTAGAATAGGGCCAAATCACAGTATAACCGAATTCCAAACGATGAACAAGAGAACAATACAGATAAAACAGCAATAAAACCGAAGCTGGAATGAAGACATCTGAGTTCTAGAGCAAGAAATCCAAAGAAAACTCCGAAAGAAGAAATTATATAACTGATGAAAGCAAACTGAATAGAAGAGCCTAATAATAGTCTATTCATACTAGAGTACAGCATCCTAGAAACCCTAATCCTTGTTTATCAAGATATCCCAATTCGACCAAACTTACCCAATTACTCCCTGAGCATTCCCAATGGACTCCCTAAATGAGCTAAAAATTTAGAAAACCTTGCAAAAAATCAACTCCAATGATGCTTCCTATCTAACTCCTAAAATTGGTTTTAACTATTATTTCAATGAAATACTTTTTACTTAGTGGCTAAAAATAATTATGACTCCCTGAACTAGAGAGCATGGTAGGTGTGGAAATATGCGGAAGTAATATCGAGAACTTCTCAAGTAACTTTTTCTGTTTTAGCTAAAGTTTAACTTGATAATACAGAGCATGATTCGATGCCCTAGACTACTTAATAAATCTCAATCCTATTAGGACTACACGACACATAAAACAACAAAAATCCTTAACCAGCCAGAGGACCCAATTAGCTTTGGAACCATCAAGTTCACTCCACTGGGTTGGATAAAAACTTGTTCGCAAGACTAGTATTTCTTAACGTTAGCATCCATGAATCAGTCCTCGATATTCATTTTAGTAGTATCATCACTTTCATGAAAACATGCCGGGTAACTTAGAACAATAACATATTTTTGGGAATAGTAAAAGTAAAGAGAAAAAAAAAAGTTACCTGATATGAAATCGTCCACATACTCGCTATCAATTTTCCCATGAGCCATGGCACCAACCTGAACATCAGGTTAGTTAATGAACTAACGAACAAAACCACCAGATAGCACATGTGTAATGCGAACAGATGATAGGAAAGCATAATGCTCATACCACAAAAACAAGGTTGGCATTATTGCTGACAGCATTTACATACTCCCGTAGCAGAACTTCCTTTTGCGAACTGACGGAAAGGCCTGAAGTGACAGCGCGTTTGGTGTTAAGGAAAGCGTTTTAATGGAAACAGAACCGTGCACATTATCGGAGGCTTACCTATTTTGACGGAGTTGGAAGGTAAATGCTGAGATATAGGGTTCTGAACCACACGCAAGAGTGTATCACGTCGACCCTTGGCTTTAATGCGGAGCTTTTGCAACAATTGTGCTGCAAACCATAGATTAGGACAGGTTTTGTGAAGTTAGAAGATGAATTTTGAAAAGAAAACAACGACATGGATGAAAAATGGCCAGGAATAAATAATGTTTGAGTCTGTTATCAAAGAATGACTAACACATCATAGCACAAAACTTGTCCAATGATTCTGGTATACGAGCATGTGGTTCGACTTTGATGAGAACCCCTTGGTCAGTTTTAACATACACCGGCTGCAGTCTGCCGGCCATGCAAAGTCGGGTATCCATAATTTGAAGGAGGGCCTGAACATACAAAAGAATTTGCAAAAATAAAAAGAACTTCTGAGACAAAAGTAAAGTGATTTCTGCCACTGGAGAGCAATGATATGCAATTTCTGATGATATTTGAAGGAAATGCAATGAGTCCAATCAATCATTCTCAATCTTAAAAAGAGTCGCCAGGCACCTCACCTCGTGAACAATGTCAGGTCTGTATTTATAAGGATCCATATTCTTTTTCCGAAGGAAGTCCCCGTGTATTTCTGGATTTAAAATCTGGTACTTCTGAAAAAAGGAAATATAAATACAAGGTAAAAGAACAGTAACGAACAAAGTAGCACAGAAACAGAAAAATAAAGGATGCAGGTAGAATTATAAATGAAGGGTTACCTTGCCGACATAAGCAGGCACCAAGGAGGCCTTTTCGAGAACAAAAGTAACTCCAGGGTTCATATTCTGGCTGGAAGGAGCTAGAGGAATGCCGGGAAGTTGGAGCATAGAATCTTCATTAATATCCTGTTCAATAATTCCTTTGACTTCCAAGATGTCCTTGGAAGAATTAAGCCTTGAGCATCGCTCTAAGGCCTTTCTCTTCGTTCCCCTCTTTTCGATCCTCCTGGAATACCATTGAAGAATTCATGCTAATGTAATTACCAAAAGAATGGAAGGCAATCCATTTCCTTTCACCAATGTGTGCATTACCAAGAAATTAAAACAAAATATGGCACACAAGTTAAACCTCTAAGACATTACAGAAGCATGCGTTTCGTTAGGAATTGCCCATTTTACATCAACACTAAGAAATAATAAATAATTGCTAGTCCGAGTCCCAAAAGTTAAACCAAACGTGAGAGTAAAAACCTTAGTACCTTCCATTAGAGGACTTGTTCGAATTCGAAGCTTTGTGGGTCTTCATGGCATGCAAAACTTGTTCAGTCTTCAGTTTGGGTCACAAATTGGGGCTTCTGAGAGTTTGTATACCGGAATAAATTGGGGGCTTGGAAAGTAGAGGCCTTTTGCTTTTGAACCAAGGTGAAGGTTTCGTCCGTTGAGGGAGTCCGAGACTCGAGAGAAGAATCGAGTTATAATTGTCCGAGGAGTGAGGACTGTGGTTAAATAAAAAATAAAAAAAATCGAAACGAGAGGAGGAGGCCAGCTGGGGCTAGGGTTTCCGAATTCTCTTCCTAATTTTTTTTCGAATGAGGATCCTCGGAAAATTTTAAATCGTATCCGTTCATTGTATATAATGCGATCTGAATCATTGTAAATTATTTTATTTAAAATTAAATATAAATAGTATTTAACAAAAACTGGTCACAAGATAAACGAATATGATTGAAAAATCTCCAAAATCCTCACAAAAAAGATCCAGAGAGAATCCTCATTCATTTTTTTCTGCTTCTTCTTCTTTCTATATTTTATTTATCTTTCATTTGTTTTCTCTGTTCATTTTTTTCCAACACATAATTGTACGGTGCCTCCCGACCAAAAAAATTATAAATAGAATATTTAAAGGATATTACTGTTCACACAACTATTTTTACATTGCTCACATTCTTTTGAAGTTTCAACTTTTTGATCGAATAAATTAAAAAAAAAAACAAAATAGAGTTTGTATGGGAGATAAAAAAATGGTGTGTATTATAACGTCCTTAAATAAATTTATTGTATGAGTATGTTTATAAAGAGTGAGACAGAAAAGGGTTGATTACTTGAAATGTGTTTTCACCTCTGTAGGGTTTAAGAATCCTACAAGGATTATGATAAGTACATGGATTGGTCTAAGAGATCTTATTTAATCATACTTTTTAGTGTAACAAGCGTCACAATCGTATTTACAGTGTTCATGAATAATAAATAATGTAATATTGTGAAATTGCAGTGTCCTGATAATGGAGCCACTACAAGAAAAATGAGCTTTGGGTACAAAATAAAGGGCACAATTGAGAATTTTGTGTCAGTTTGACCACCAAAAAGCTTAAACAATTCCCATTCCATAGAGGGCACCATCTATTGTGCCCAATGTTAAAAAAAGCAGACACAAAACAGTAATGGGCACGGAAATCGTGTCGAGTGGGATCACATGACAACTTTTGTACTGAAAATGGGCACAAAAAATATTTTGTGTCTATAAAAATTATTTCTCAAAGGCACTATATGTTCTCTCTCGTTTGTCTTTACCTCCACTAGCACACCAATAATTAAAATTTATAAAATTGTGGTAAATAATGGTATGAAGCTGTTTATTACCGTGCAATATTTTAGCCTCAAAATAAGTTAGCAATAATGTTGTTCAAATTTGTTTTTCCCGAAAGCTGAACCTCAGATCTCTCACTTACAAGTAAAGAAGAATACCACTACACCATAGTACTAAGTGGTATGTTTTAGATTTACAAAGGATCATTTCCAGGTGCAATGAATGTTTGTTAGATTCGTATCTTTTTGAATTGCTTTTTGGATTGTTATCTTCTTGCAGGTTTGTTTTTTATACTTGGTGATATGGTTTTTGGTTTTAAAGTCCTACCTGCAGTGACACATAACCAACAATTGTGCCCTTAGGGTTGGTCTCTATGCAAAAGTTAGTTGGTCTTCAGATAGACAAATGAGTTAATAATTGTAGATTCCTTTTTATGACACTAATGATAGAAATTGTGTCCACTAAATATTAATAAATAATAAATCACTCTACTTCTCATTGGGTCTTCAAATAGAGAATATATTTTAATAATTATAAATTCCTCTTTTCTGACACAAATGTTAGAAATTGTGTCCAGTAAATATTAATAAATAATAAATACTCTATAGCAAAAGAATATGTTGGCACAATTATGGATTTGTGCCTTTATTCTACTATAAAACGTCCACACACTCCCTTACTAATTTGTATATGGAAATTAAGAAGGTTGCTTCATACACATATGTTTCTTTTGAATTTGAGCAAGTTCTACATCATTGACAATGGCGGACAGGCGACGTCGTGGAGTTAGAATTGGAACTGAATCTCCAGCATCACATTCGTATATTGCTTCCAACATTACAACAGAAAATTCCACAACGAATCCTCCAGTTCAACGTCCACGACAACCTGTTAATGCCGGGCGCATGCCTCGTCCTTTTAATAATCAGTACATTCTTACTACTTTTGTTGATGGTCGCCTTGGCTACGCATTACCCTTCAATAACGGATGCGTACGCGCACCTCAAGGACGTGTATTGCCAGCATGGGCAAACCCAGGTAGGACAGAACAATATCCTGTCAATTTGGTTTCTGCTGAAACAACAACTGAACAGTCTACCAATTCTGTCGTTATTATTGAAGAACCACGCACTTATCAAGCACAAATTCGTCCTAGAGGTCTGTCTGTCCCACAGTTGAGCTCACGAAATATGCAGAATGTTACCGTTGAGATTTTAAGCAGCGATGACGAGGACAATTAATATATTTTGTATTATGTTATATTTCACTGGTGTACTATGAAAATATAACTATCTTATGCTATGCTGGACTCCTCTTGGGTCATTTTATCAACTTATGTCGTATTCCAATATAATAATGTTTTCTTTCTAATTAGCCCTTGTAGATTTACTCCTAGTATATATTTTTTTAGGTTATAATTATGTTTCTCGTCCGCTTCATACCGCAGAATTTAGTGAATTCACAGCGTGGCAACACAAAGGTTATGAGACATTATTTCTATACTAAAACCCAAATTCGGGTGCACTGTTTACGGACAGTGCGTGGACGAAAATGCCCCCAATTGGCCTTCAGCTTTTTTTTTTTACAGTAAAATGGCGGTTTTGTCCTCCCAGCCCATGCGTCTCTCATCAGTGTGCCTCTAGGTTCGGTCTTCTTTTTCTGTTCCTTTCTTGGCACGCGTCCATCATCGCTGCCCGTTCTGTTTCAGTTCTCTGCTTTTTCTTTCTTTGCTTTCCATTTCCCCCCTCTCTCGCCCCCTTCTCAGTGTTTTGCAAGCTTTTCTCCCTTTGTCTTTGTCGCCATGGTCTCCATCTCTCTCAAGCTTTTCTCCCTTTCTATTTGTCGCCATAGTCTCCATCGCTCTCAAACGTTCGTTTCTATCCCTGTCAAATCTTGGCTCGCTGGAAAAATCCGAAGTAGTTTAAACTTCTTCAGCTTTTTGATTTGGATTGAAGATGATTTTAAGCCAAAAAGGTTAACGTTTTCTGGTAAGTTCTTTGAATAGGGTTTTTTTTTTTTTTTTTTTTTTCAAATCTATGGGTTGTGTTTTCTTCAATTTTAAAATATTAAAAATTGAATCTTTTTGTTTTTTTTTTGGGTAATATTTTTCATTAGATTATGCTATGGGTTCTGATGAGGCTTTGAATTGGGTTTGAGAGTTTTGATTTAATGAGAGAGATAAGGAGTATACACGGAGACAGGGAGTTAGGTCATTTGAAGAAATGGAGATTAGGGTGCGAGAAAAACGGGAGAGAAGGGGTAGCAGATTAAATTTTGATTTTATAATTTTGTTTGTGTTTAAATTTTGCGTTTGTAATTTTGGGGTTTTGTGTGTGCGCTTGGATACGATTTAGTCTTCAATTTCAGGAAACGGTGGTGTTGCAATTTTGGGGCTTTCATGTGCAACCTTGGAACCACTTTGTGCTCAAGGTATATAAAAGGTATGAATTTTGTTTTTGTAATTTTGGGTTTTGTTTATATCGTTAGATTCGTTGTCTGGGCGTATGATTGACTTCTGTTTTTCGTTTCAGGAGACGGTACTCTTCGTTTTTTGGGGCTTTTGTGTGAAGCTTTCGAAGCCCTCTGTGCTCAAGGTAAATAATTTTGGTTTTTTCCTTTTGAGGCTTTTGTGGAATAATTCTTTTTGTTTTTTGGTTTTTTGGTTTTTTGTTTTTGTAATATTGTGATAGTTTTATTTTGTATATTGTGAAAGTTGATTGTTTGAGAAACTGAGTAACTGTGTATTTGTTTGTAGTTATGGTATGAGACGTGATATAAATTGAACAGGATGAGATAAGGTATTTAGGTAGTACAACAATTGATCGTGAAAAACTATTAACAAACTACATTTGAAACATTCATTCATTTATGTTATATGTGGTGGTTCCAAGCTTGAGTTCTTTTTCCATGCAGCCTTCTGTTGACCAATACGGGTCTATGCATTCTGGTAATGCTACAAATGGATAAATCACATCAGAGCGTCTGCTACCCCTTTGTTACCTGATTTCATGGATTCATTTATGTGCCATCTCCGTAACTATTATCTGTCTGCTGCCTATTACTATGGAGGTAAAACTTATCGGTGAAGTCCTTGCTTTAGATTGGTTTATTTATGGATTGTCAGATTCTTCGTTAAATTCAGGTATATTTTTTATATCAAAATTCATGTGTGATATGAATGGTTTTGTGAATTTCTTTTAGGCTATGATGAGACTAGCAACAACTGGGATGACTACTTGAGATATGTAAATCCTGAGGGAGTATAAATGATTTCTGTAAGTTCCTCTTCCGACTTCACAATTGTGTACTGGGTAGTCATTACAAGCTTCCAGTGATAGTTGTCTAACGCTTCGAAGGCAGCTCTCTAAAATTTAAATTATCTTTCTGAGTTTTCTTTTCTTCTAATTACATAAAATTGATATTTTTTTATATAGTTATTTAATTGTCATATGCTCTGGTATATCGATTTCTTTTTTTTTTTCTCAAAATTTTTGCTTCGTTTTATATAATGCTTAGAAAGGAGGAACGCCCAAACTGGAGGTCAGTCAAACATGACATCCTTTCTATGGACCTGAGGTCAGTCAAACATGTGTTATATGTGTATAGGTAGAGTTTCCATTGCTTGAATCTCCTCTGCTTATATCACTTTATTGGGTGCCAATTTTAGGGGAAATTATGAGACATGGAAATTGTTGCCAAATGCGAGGACATAAAGTTGTCTATTTGCAAAATTACGTTGAAGTGGCACAAGGACCCTAAGTTGGTATGTTTGAGTAGATTACCTGATCTCCTTAGTTGGGTTTAGGTTTAATGCTCAGTGGTATGTTGTGCTTCTGCTCCTTTTTAATTATCGAGGATATGCAGAGATCGCAAATGAAAAGATTGTATTTGCTGTGTTGATGCATAGTTGAGCCAGAGATGCAAAAGGAAGGATGTATTCAATCTCAAGATCTGTGAGCTTTCACTTAATTTTATTATTATTAATCTTGTTTGCTCTTTGAAATTTGAATGTATTAGTTTTTTAATTTTATTGGGATTAGTTTACCTGAGATGGGTTTTGGGTATATTTTTAGATTATGAAATTTAATGTTAATTGATTTTCTAGGAAAAATGTGAGACTCTGAGTATGTTAAAAGGCTGAAACATTGCATAAAGTGGTTCCAAGAGCTTGAGGAAAGCTTCTTACTAGAGCTTGAGAAGTTAGAGAATTTGATTCTGTTATTCGTAGACCATTCTTCTGAATCTCTGGGTTTGAAGCAGATCAATTTTTACATTTTTATGTTTAATTTTGGGAAGAAATGAAAATGAGTTTTGCCTTTTTTGAGTGTTTCGTTGGTACTAGCTTGCTGCACATGCTGTTCTCTGGGTGTAATCATAATTATCTAAGCAAGCTCACTTATAATTATCTAAGATATATATATCAGCAGCAAGGGTGTGGAAGCTCACACGCTCAGATTTCAACGCGTTTCGAAGGTGGAAATGACAAGAATGTGCAGTGTGGACCTCCAATTTCTAGTGCTATGATGCATGAGGACTGCCAAAGTGAGAATACTGGTTAGTTGTCATCAAGCAGCCCTTGTAGATGTGTATTTTGTTTATATATTGCTAGTTTAACCATTAGTACGTTTGACTTGGGGATACAAGCTTGGATATGTTATATTTTGTTGTATATAGAGAATCCCGGGTATATCCAGCATAGGATAACATGTATTTTTTGGTTTAACATTTGGATGGGTTGTATTGTTAGGTTGCATGAATCGGTCTTAGCCGAGAACATGGGTTATGTAATATATTAACTTCACTATTTTAGTGCTAATGTTGATTTATGTTTAGTTTGTAATGGATGATTTGTAAGTTTCTAAATTTAGGTGGAAATTAGGTTCTATGAGCAACCTGATGATTTCCATGTTTAAATAAAAATATCCAATTATGCCACAAATTTTTAATTGTGCTGGAGTTTTATTGTATTTATTAAAATATAATAGTGGCACAATTTTAAAGTTGTGCCCTTGCTTTAACATTTATACAGCAATCTGAGCCTTTAAAATAACAATTGTGCCCATCTTACACCATACATTCAGTAGCCTTTATTAGAGGTAAGACACAATAAGGGTTGTATTTGTGCTTAGCTTTGGGCACAAAACATCATATTGTGTGCTATAAGTAATGGTGACGCCCATAGAGGGCACAGATACAAACTTAGTTGCTGCACTGTTGCTATTGGTCTATGAGCACAAATGTTGGTGCTTTTTGGCCTGAAAAGGCACATATAATTTTTTGTGTGCAGTGCTCATTTTTTTTGTAGTGAGCTATCCGCGCCCACAGGCATTGTGGTGCTTTACAAAAAGAAGAAAAAAAAAGAAAAAAAAAAGAAAAAGAAAAAAAAAACAGACTAAAAAATCTAAAACATTAAATATGTTTGATAAAACAAAAAAAAAAGTGCTTTTAAAAAAAAAAAAATTGTTGTCAATGAAAGTAGAAAAACATAGAAAAGCAAAAGCAGATCTACCGTGCTTCTAAAAAAAATGCTTTTTTTTTTTATAGATAAAATATATTAATGAGAAAAAGAGAATATAAGCATCAACGAGTAGCTGAAAATACAAACACTCAACAAAGAGTAGCTGAAAATACAAACACTCAACAAAGAGCTGTAGATAAAAGAAAAACAAACAGTAAAGTTAACAACACTGTATCAAAGCAGCAAAAATAGGCACTAACTATTCATAGTTATATTTCATTCTCGTAAAGTAGAGCCTAGCAGCGGAATGGGCAATTTTCAAAAAACTTAATCGAAGTCTAATGTTGGACTTAAATTGAGTTGAGAACCACCACAATGGGTTGATATAAGTTCTTGAATCTACGATTGTTCCGCTTCCTCTAAACATAATACACAGTAGCAACAAGACTTAACTTCAAAACTATCGATGATAGAAATTTTCTCTTGCAATGGCTAGTAGCCCACATGACAAAAATAGGCCAAGGGAGCCTTAGCCAAGGTGCACTGCACTTGAATAGCATCAAAGACCAAATACCATCTGTAAAAAAACACTCAAAGAAGAGGTGGCAATGGGACTCCGTAGCAATAGAGCAAAGTACACAAGTGACACGAACTGACAGAGCAAAAGTCAAGATTCTATCCATAGTAGAAACTAGAAAGCTTGTATTTAATAGCCAACCAAAGAATGAAGCTCATCTTGGGAATATTTTGATTATACCAAACAAGCTTAGACCAACCTACCGTAGGCTTGGATTGCCAAAACTTATACCAAGCAGAAGCAGCAGAGTAGATGCCAGACGATGAAGGAGTCCATCGAATCATATCACCCAAGCTAGGATTTGGCACAATATTTGACATAGACATTTGAATTTCCAACAACTCATGAGAAGAATTATTAGGCCAACACCAATTAGAACCATTCCAACTATTGCAAACCAAAGCAGTTTTTTAAAGCATAGTAATCAATGCTCATTTAATGAAATTTTCAAATGTTAATTATACCCCCTACATACTTTACAAAATTACAATCTTTGTCCTTACATTATTGTCTTTGACAATTATTATATCCTAAGAAAATTTAGACTACCTCTTCGCCAAGTCACTCGTTTCTTCAATGGACAAGTTTAAGGGTAAGCCCTTCATGTTGGAAGGCATCCTTGTTGCCGATGACCGAGGAGGAACTTAAACTATCATCTTTTATAGACAAATTACAGTAGTTAGTTGGCTAGTATTGTGCTCGGTTCTACTTTTCAGGGTCGAATTATTTTTTTGACTTCATCAAGTCGAATAATCTTTTTTTTTTTTTTTTTGAAGTAATAACTTAATAATCATCCAGTTATCGTCTACTCAAGCGATATGCAATTAAAAGATGAAAACAAATGTTCCACAAGTAATTCAGTTTTTTTTAAATCACGACAAACTATAGGAATACTCATGTTATAGATATCTTCGACGCTTGTACAAAACTTCGTACTTAATAACTTAGATATAAATGATTCAGAAGACCTTCCATTTATGCTCCAACGACTCGCAAATCAACCCTATGCAGCCTTTTGCACTCAATGGATAATTTGAAACTGCAGAGCCAAACAAATGCAACATTAAGATATTAATAGCGTCCAGCATGCATGACATAGAGAAGTCAAGTGAAAACGAAACTGCAAGAAAGAAACAAAAAAAAAAAAAAAAAAAAAAAAAAAAAAAGAAAACCAGCCGACCAAGAACAGACAACACTAAAAATTTGTACAAACACACAGACGCAAAAGCAAGTTGTTTTGCCTATGCCAATTCAACAAGGATGTTAAGGAATAAATGCCTTTTTGACAAACATATACAAACAACCCAGTGAACGAGCTGCCCTTGTTCGTCATACACAACATACATACTGACGCAATAAGCTAACCTTAAAAAGTGTGAGAACCGGGGGAGGCTCCTCATATATCTAAGGGGCGCAGGATAAATAAACAAAAGCAATAACAAACCTTCAAGTACAAACGGTCTCAATCATAATGATAATAATAATGAAAATGACTGAGACAAGTAGAAAATGAGCACTTCAAACCAATAATAACCGAAATTCAAAGCCTGCATCCGCTTATCGTAAAGAGATCAATTTTTGGTAAGTTGTTAAATATAGGAAGGATCAAGTTAAGCCATTGGAGTTATTTACCATTTCAGTTCTCATCAATGAATTTCAAGTACAGAGATACAAAAAATCATCATCGCAGAAAATCCTAAACCCTAAACAATTAAGCCTATCCAATATCTACTTCTGTCAACCATCCGCTCCCCAGTTTTGATAAGATTCAAGTTTCCTATATTGCACAAAATACTTTGATCGCTGTTCTTTTTACTCAAGAATTCAAACTCGACCACCAAAAATCACCTTTTCAAGCTCAAAAGTTCAGATACCCCATCTTAGTTTCTTAATATCTATTCACGTTTCTCATCGACATTTATAAAAGCCACATTATCACATAGCTCAAGTATAAATTACCTGATATAAAATCATCTGTATGCTCATTGATCTTCCCATGGGCCAGTTCACCCACCTGAACATGTATAAAAAGCCGTTATGCAGATTTCAAATTTCACATACAAAAAAGAGCACGAAGTAGAGGCCTATGAACTGAAATTTAGAATCTCAAACATACCACAAAAACAAGATTCAATTCATCACCGGCAGAATTAACATAGTCGTCAATATCAACCACTTTTTCTGAACTATAAGAGAGTCCTGTAAACCCAGTACAGCAGGCATTAATCAACGTCAGTAAGATCAGAATACTAAATAGAGGTAGGCAATGCTCACCTACTACACGAGAGTTGACCGGTAAATGTCGGGTTACAGGTTCCGCAATGACACGCATAAGAATTTCATTTGTATCTTTGGTCCGTATGCATTTTTTATCTAGCAACTCCACTTTAAAAATTGCAAAAGTCAAAACACAAAGCAATCTGTAAGTTCCATGGATATATTTTGAAGAGGCTGAATGAGCAGAGTGAATATAAGACAACTAGTAATAGAAGCTAACTTACGCATGACTCCACAAAAGCGCCTACACGTTCTTGGTATACGAACATGGGGTTTAATCTCAAATAACACTCCATTATCTGTTTTCACATACACAGCTCCTACCATACCAGCTTTATTAAGTTTGCTATCAAAAATCGCACGAAGAGCCTGGATGGGTAAAACACTTAAAATCATAAATTTATAAATTAAAAACAGCAAAAGAAACACAACATAGACTACATATTAGTGAGACATGATCCAATGCTAAAATCTTAGTGGCATTCTACAGTAACCCTTATGCTAACCTCAGTTCCTATGAATGAACTTATGGGTCTGTAATGTAACAATGGGATGATACAGTGTAAATTGTTTAATTCGACTTTACTGACTTGTTAATAAAATCCAAAAGCTACTTGAGAAAAATGAGGGTTTGGAAATAACTTTTCTATCTCATATGCAAACGGATGGATTTATTTAGACCCCAAATTTGCAAAGCTAGGACCCTTCTTTTATGCATCCAGAAATTCTCGGTGCAAATTGTCGTCGGAATTTGTATCAATAACTCAGTAAGTTTTGTCGCTGATACTGTGATACATTATCATCAATGATATCAACACCTTATCAAATACCATTAGTTTGTTCACTTATAAGTATTTTCATTAACCTAAGATTATAACTCCACTATATAGAAACCTAACCAAACTCATATAAGAAGAATGTAATCAATGTAACTTGTAAGTTGTAGCTCAAGAGCAAACCTGGTAGACAACTCCAGGCTGATAATTATTCTCATCTTTCTTTTGTTTCAGGGCATCAGCATCTTCCTCTGAATCCAGAATCTTCCACCTCTGAGAAGAAAAAAAGTTAAAAATTGAGGAAATAAAATTCTAGACAAATAAATAAATAAAATAATTTAAAAAGCCTCAAAAAAAAATTTACTCGAATATCAAATTAATTTTTGCATGAAGAGTTTCCCGCACCTTTCGAACGATGCCCTTTCTCAGAGACGCATTTTCTACAACAAAGGTTGCCCGACGGACCTCAACATTCGGCGGCGGCGACGGTATAATGGCATCATGCGTAACGTCATTATCTGCTAACTTTTCAGTTGTTGTCGATTTTTCTTCCAACTTCCGCTTCACAGTCTTATTAGACAAATCCTGCGCCCCCGACTCCGACTCCGACTGCCTCCTCTTCCGCCTCGCCATGTTGTACAAGTAGTGTTCCTCCAGTAACTAGGGTTCGTGGTAAGAGAGAGAAGGAGAGAGTTTTCTATCCCGAATAGCCATGCACTATTCCAAACTCATTATTTTAGCCTTTATTATTTCAACCCTATCAATACTGGGCTTGTAAGTATAGCCTAGGCCCGATGGGTCGGTCTGAGTTTGGTTTGTTGCCCAATGACCCGGCCTTTAGAGCAAGTGCAGCGTGCTCTTTAGCTCGATGGACCGGCGATTCCAATCACCCAATTGCCCCAGCAATTAGCTCCAGCCTATGCGGGCAATGGGGCTCGGGGGAGTCCCGATGGACAGGCCAGGCGGGAATCCATCGCCCGAGAGCCTGAGGCCCGAGCGATGAATAGCTGACATGTGACGTCTAAAATTAATAAAAATAAAAAATATTAATAAAAATGTAAAAAATTAATTAAAATGTAAAAAATTAATTAAAAAAATCCAAAAAAAAATTTGATATAATTTTTCTATAAATATGTTATCATTATCTTCTAACTTACACCATAATTTTATATTTTCTCAAATACTTTGGGTTGTAATTTCTTATTTAATGACACGTGGTACAACGAGACCAATTAAGAATCATATCCAAAATTACAAATAAAATTATTTTTTATTATTTTATAAAATAAAAAATACTAATATTTTATTGCCTATTGCCATAGCTATTCAGTTTAGGGATGGAGATGCAAAAGGCAATTACTGTTCACTGAAGGCTATTCAATAGTGAGTTGCCCTAGCTAGGGGTCCTTTGCAACACTAGAGTTGCTCTTAATAGGGCTGGCCCGATCTAGTTCTATGATTATTTTTTCAAATACAAGCGATATCCTTACTCTAGACTAGAAGGATAGGAGGAGAGTTCAAACCTAAGACGAAGTGGGTTAAAAAAACAACCCCAACCGGGCGATCCACTACTTACATAAAATCAAAACTTATGAATGTGGTATTGACTTAGTTATCTATAGTTATACAATTTGATTGATTCTCGTTTGGTTCAAATGACAACTAGTAATATGTGAGTACGAGATCATGGGTTCAAATAAAAACATCAATAAGATAAGCACCATTGACGACGAAGAAACATGAGTTCATAGTAGGTAGTTAGTCGCAACAGATGATGGTGTGTTATTAGGAACGACGCAACAGGCCCAAAGGTGAGGGTTAATGAGAACAATGGTGTGTTACTGGAGATGATGGTGTCTTATTGGAGAAGACACAGTCCCAAAGGTGAGGATGAATGCGAACACTGAGGTGAGGGCAAACGAACATGAAAGATCAAATGCATCGCAACACGATAACTTATGCCAACGATGTTGGCCAGAAATGTGACTTGCAAAGAATTACTCGTTTGTGCTTATGCCCAATTGGGCATGTTTACCTCAACGAATTACTCGTTTGGTTGTAAATTAGTACTTGGAATAATTGACGATGTAGATAAGCAGGCTAATTAAAATGCGACTCTAAATGCTCAAAAAATGAATGAAGGTTTCCAACTAGTACTTGACTTATCTTCTCCAATAGCTCCAATCTTCACTAGCCAAGGTCGGCCCAATATCCCGTTATGGGGAGATGGGTCGCTGACGATCATGAAGGTCTGCGATGAGATAATTGGAGGGTTGGTTACGTCGAGGGTGATTATGCCAATGGCAATTGAGGTAAGTTCATTGAATCTAGTCAAGATCTCTGCTTTACATCTAATCATACTTTCCAGGTCCATTTTTTGGATGATTGACAGTTGTAGGATATTGACTGAGCTACTGTTGTCCACCATCATCCTGTCAACGATGGTGTGGGCCAATTGAATAAAAATCACTAAGGCATCGTCATGGGGAAAGTCTACTCCTTCAGTGTCCTACTCAGTGAAGCCGACAATTGGTCCAGGTATGGCATCTATGGCTTGAACCTGAAGGACCGATCTTGCATGATGGATCTTCCTATTCTTGCAATTGTTGGTGGCCCCCAGATGCTCGAATTTGATAAAGATGTCGTTGATTCGGATCGCCTTGGTTGGGAGTTTGGCATCGGTCGGGTAGCTGGTCTGTCGACATATTGGTTGCATTTGCCTTCTTTTACACACTTCTCAAGGTACCTCATCCATGTGATGCAATTATTGGTTGTGTGCCCCCGGACCTCTGTGAAATGTGCAATATTTTCTCTGGCCCATCTTGGAGGTATCTCCCTTCATGGGCTATAGCATCTTGAACTATGGCTTGTCCTTGAGGATGTGAAGGATCTGGTTAATCGGGACTGAGAACTTGGTGTACACCTTAGGTGCATAGCCTTCTTTTACTAGGGATCGGTCATTGTGTCTGCTTCCTGGCTTGTTCTTGTCATTAAGCAGTTTATCACCCGCCTTCTTTTGAGCTGGCTTCATGTCTTTGCACGGATACTCAGGTGGCCTCATCCTAAAAGGAATGCATTTATGCCAAAACGTAAGAATCTGCTAGGGTCAAGTTCTTGACCCATGATCAGCTCTTCGAAAAGTGGGTGATCTGCTAGGAGTCTCTTCCAGAAGGTTGAGCTTGCAATGTTGTCATCGCATTCGACGATCTTTGTCTTCTTCACCTTGAACCTCTTGATGTATATGCGGAGTGACTCCTTCGGATCATTATTCATGTTGAAGAGGTAATCAGACTTCTTCTTGAGCAAGCGGTAGGATGAATATTCCTTAGTGAAAACTAAGGAAAGTTCACAGAAGTTTTGGATTGAACGTGGTTACAGGAAGTGGAACCAATCTTGCGCCTCGCCTTGGAGTGTCGTGGCAAAGATCTTGCACATAAGAGCGTCATTGTTATCGTAGAAGGTCATGGCACTTCAGTAGTGCATCAAGTGCATGTCCGGATCTTCATCTCCTTTGAACAAGGTGAAATGTAGGGGCTAAACTTCCGCGATGGCTTTGTCTGCGCTATAGGCTGCGGCTTGCTCCTTACGAGCTTAGGCTCGGCTTGCCATGGACTAAACTTGGGTATAACGACCCATCCCCAAAATATTATGGTTTTTATAATTTTAAAATGTAAAATTATGAAAATGCCCTTCGAGGCAAATAAGTTGATTTTGTTGATCGTCTTGTCGTGTCATGTAAAATTCATTCCCTTGATGTAGCCTCGCAGTACTCGTCGTTACGAATGCGGGACGTAAGCGAAAGTGAATTTGGAGCTAAAACGAAGATTTTACGGGACTCGGAGCAATAAGGGTATTTTTGGTAATTTTGTCATGAAATATATTTTCACCTTGAACCAACCCCGAGCTGACACGACAAGACGACTCTCAGGATGGTAACACTTATACCTTTTTCGGTGAGAAGAGAAGCCTAGAAAGACACACCGTAATGCACACGGATCCAATTTACTACGATGTATTTTCTGAATATGAACATAAGCCACACAACCAAAGACTTGAGGGGGGAGAGTATTACTTGACACCACTGGAGCATGTTGTGTGAGGATTTGAAGAGGTGTTTGAAAACCAACCACCCGAGAAGGCATACGATTAATGACATACACGGCATAGGTAACAACTTCAAGCCAAAAACACTGAGGAACCGAGGCCCCAATGAGCGTTCTACAACCCCATTTTGTTGTGGAATATGTGGACACGTGGTTTCATGAAGAATCCCTTGATCACGTAGAAACTTCGACAACTCAAAATTGATGTATTCTCTTCCATTATCAGAACGGAGACTTTGATAACGGAAGAATATTGTGTCTGAATCATTTGAGCAAATGACCAAAATATGGCACTAACATCTCTTTTATTTTTCAACACATAAAGTCATGTCATACGAGTGTAAGCATCAACAAATGTAACAAACCACCGAATTCTTGATGAAGTAGTAATTGGAGAAGGCCCCCAAACATCGAAATGCACAAGATCAAATGGAAATTGCCTTTTATTCATACTAGGAGGAAACGAAGCACGATGGCTTTTAGCAAGAATACATACTTCATTCACAATGTAAGTCTGATTCATTTATTCTACTAAATAAACTAGGCAACATATGCCTTAAATATCTAAAAATGATGCCCTAATTGACGATGCAATAACCATACTTCTTGTAGATTACTATCACGGAACACTCGTACTGCATGAGCTCTGTCAGGAACAACATCATCCACATAGTACAACCCATCTCTCTTAGTGCTACGCCCAATTATCTCATTGGTTTGAATATCCTGAAGTAGACAAAAGGACGGATATATTAGAACAACATAGGGGTGGGCACGGTGCGGTTCGGTGCGGTTCCACCCCTAAACTGGAACCGGAACCGAAATATATTAACGGTTCGATTCGGTGCGGTTCCACTTAAATTTATTACTAGAACATTACGGTTCGGTCTATACCGGTTCCGATTCGGTTCTTTCCGGTTTACGGTTCCTAATAATAAATTATTTGAACACCAAATCATTATGCATTCAAATACATCTTCTAAAACTGATTACATAAAGTTGCATACAACACATCTTTTTTAATGCAAATGTCTTTGGTAGTGGCACCAAGTCAACAAAAAGAGACAACTAAAATACATATGCATTGGTCAATCAGTCAACAAACAAAAAAATGATGAAGCAAATTGCAGGTTTTCAGACTTCAGAGAGCAAGCAGGAAGCAGCAGCTCCTGTACACAATTTTTCAACCTATTTTTCAACCTATTATACCATGACATGTGTGTGTGTATATAATTTATTTATTTATTATTAATAAAACGGTTCGGTTCGGTTCGGTCGGTTCTTGGTCATTCGAAACCGGAACCGGAACCGGTTTGAACGACTCGGTTCGGTTTTTCACTCAAAGTTGACTTTTCCGGTCAACACGGTTTTTTTCGGTTTTTTTTCTTACGGTTCGATGCGGTTTTGCGGTTCGGCGGTTTTTATGCCCACTCCTAGAACAACACAATCTAATTGTTCAGTAACCTGTGGTATAGAAAGTAAATGATGTGATAAAAATGGAACAAGTAAACATCGATGTAAAGGGAGATAAGCCATGAGATACACGGTGCTAGCACCAACAATAGGGGAACAAGTACCATTGGCGATGGCAATATATTCCTTG